GAACAAGATACATGTATAATAAAATTTGGTATGAAGTTGCAGTTTTTGTCCCAATAACACTCATATGATTTCTTTTTGTAAACATTTGACATGTATTATTATGCGATATAAACCTTCATTTGTCGAAACTGGAAACGTAAATTGAGATATTTTCATAGGTGTCTTTCTTCTCTTAAATAAATCTAAAACATTGCGAATTGTTGTTTTTTACTGCAGTTACAATATTCCAGCAATATCAGGGCGGCCTGTAAATAATCGATTTTGTCCCTGACAACTTTACCAGTGGTTGATTTGGACAACGCCCCATGCCTTCGGGACATTCGTGACCAACTTGTGTTATTCGGGGACAAGCAGTTAGGTTACTGAAAGGGGCAAGTGGTGACGAATGGCCGTCGGGGTACAATGAAACACAAACCACCAAGTCACCGATCCATTTAGTCGAATCATACAATATGCATGCATAGATTACTTTTGGTCAATAAACAGAACCAGGAATCCCCAAGTGTTGACTAAAAAAACACACCCCAGGAAATATTATTTTTCCCGAACGAGAGCGAGGGTAATACATTTATTCTTAGACGAGTTTCGTAAAATCAGTATGACAAACATGCGAGTGTAATAACTTCTTTGTTACCTATTATTTCTTAATCCATCTGAGCTTTCCTTTAGAGAAATGCACTGATCACAACCGCCGTCTTAGAAAACTACAATTGTCAAATGACGTCAACAGTTTTCAGCTATGACGTCATTTCTTGTGTCAGAATAAAATTTGAAAGACGATAACAATGCCGCCCGGATGACATACATATAGAATACTAAACGGGCTCCCGTGTAATACCAATTTTATGAAACGAGTGAATAGTTGTATCTCACGAGCGAAAATTGGTTTTACACGGGAGTGAGTTTAGTATTTTATTTATTACTTGCCATTTATAACGTTTTTAGAATTATACTGTTGAGTATGAATAGGCTAACACCTACACGATCCACGGCATAGTCCAATTGAGTTTAACAGAATAATACTTTAAACACGTCACAAGTTGAAACGTATGAATTTAATACCATACAACAGTCCACCTTTAGAATTCACAAATTTATCGTAGGGCTAAGACTACTGCAACTCACATACTTTAACAGACTAAGGACTGTCGTTGCGCTACAATACGATCGCCTTGTGGAACGGGCCTTGCACCTCAAAGTTTACAATAACGTCACAATACCGGATGACGTAATTTGTGGAATTTTGTTGCAAGATCCATCAGCGAAACAATGCAGTGTGACGTCAGCCTAGCAACAAGGTTGCTGGGGTCATCGAGTGTGCATAAGCTCCTCTCAACTCAACTCCACACGCAATGTCGTTGAATAAGCCAAAGGATGTTGAGAGTTTTCAATATTTGTTCGTGAAACGTGTTCCGAGAGTACATAAGCACGCGTTTTGGTATTACACAATGTGTAATACAGCTGTATGTTTATTAAACGGGTGATCTCTTCACGCGCAAGTAATAAAATATACTAGTGCGTGTAAACGATATTGCACCTGTGCACATACGATTTTTAGTAACTCGATTTTTTTCTAATCCTATAGGTAATTAATTATTTTTTGTGTGATTTATGAGACTTTGTACTTGCCGTTTTGGCAATAAAGTGACATGTCTTACCCGATGTATTTAATTTATTCTCCTTAATAACTGTCCACAATATACTGAAATTAAATATATATGAATATAAACATCAAACCATTATGTTTTACCCAAATAACTGGTAAATAAAATACCTGGAATGCAGTTTTAAGAAATATGATTTTATTTGGGTTCTTAAATCCACATCTTCGATAGCTTCAATGCAGAACCAGAAGTCCTTATTCACCTAACGTTCCAATTCGACTGTATTGTATTTTACCCCAGGACGTTTGTAAATACAGTACGACACGAATATAACGAACACGGATAGAGCGAACAAACGGATGCAACAAAACCCACGATTTATCTCCTATATATTATCATATAAAATTTAAATACATAACGAACTCTCTACAGCGAACTAACGGATATAGCGAACTGATATCTGATAAACGACGAGCCCATCTACCACTAATTAGTGACTTGTACAGCGAACTGAGAAATCTCACTCAGTGTCAAGTGTCACTGACAATCTAGTCTATATTTTGATTTTCCAATGTTAAATAAGTCGGTAGGATTACATGAGTTGGGTCGACGTATATCATGATAATGCCATAAAATAGAGTTTTGTTGTCTGATCGGTGACCTTCTAACTAACGGAAAGTTTATCGTATCTTTATTCTAAACAATAATACTTTACATACACAATGTTCAACAATATTGCTAAATTACGCCATTTTGAAAACCGCGCCCTCTGCCGGCGTCAGTTGCCAGATCGTTCGATTACACCCGAGCGCCCGCGGAGAGCCCTAAGTAAGCGCTCAGAAAGCGCCTCGGCCTATTGAACGCATGCCTGCCTTCACTCATTGAAATTCATTTACCGGGTCTAAACACGGATTTCTAGATACGAGAAGTGTTTTATGTTGTGTTCTTCCGCTTCACATAGAGGCATGTTCAAGAGGCTGTTTATTATTTCTATTTCCTCTTTACATTCTTCTTTTGATCATCATCGCTGTTTAGTAAGCTCTATGTTTACACCCACGTCACAGGGCTACAACTGGTGCATTATTCAGTATTTTCCATGAATCCATCTTTTCACGAGAATGACAGTCAGCGCCATATTTAAAAGGGTTATTTCGGGCTATTACTCGGTCGTTGGCAGGTACAGCTGGCTTTACAGCGAGCTGTTTCAAAACGTACCCTCAGATTTGTAACGCAAATGAGTATTGCAGTAATTTATTTCGTAAATAACAGCTACAAAACCCTTTCCATTTTCACAAGAAATCTCTACCAAAAGCAGAGTCGAATGTACGATTCTTACTGTACCATTACCTTGTGTTTTTGTGTCACTAACAAATAGTGGTGATACCAGATGTTCTCGAGAAGGTGGGCGTATCCTGTCCCACTGGTGGCACCTGTCACAAACACGCGCAAAGGCCAGTCAACTGTTCATATGAAAAAAACACGGAACATGTGGTACAAGTCAAAATTGGGAATTGCATCGGACATCATCGTCCCCCCTCACGTTCCCCCTCTTGTGTTAAGATTTGATATTTTTTCAAGTTTTGGAGGGTCCACTATTCAACGACCTAACGACCAGTATATATATATTTATATATATATTTATATTATTGATGAAATATAACATTCAGTACCTAACGACCAGTATATATATATTTATATATATATTTATATTATTGATGAAATATAACATTCAGTACCTAACGACCAGTATATATATATTTATATATATATTTATATTATTGATGAAATATAACATTCAGTACCTAACAACCAGTATATATATATTTATATATATATTTATATTATTGATGAAATATAACATTCAGTACCTAACGACCAATATATATATTTATATATATATTTATATTATTGATGAAATATAACATTCAGTACCTAACGATCAGTATATATATATTTATATATATATTTATATTATTGATGAAATATAACATTCAGTACCTAACGACCAGTATATATATATTTATATATATATTTATATTATTGATGAAATATAACATTCACCACCTAACGACAAGTATATATATATATATATATATATATATATATATATATTATTGATGAAATATAACATTCAGTCCCTAATGACCAGTATATATTTATTTTTATATATATATATATATATATATATATATATATATATATATATATGTATATTATTGATGAAATATAACATTCACCATGCACCTAACGACCAGTATATATTTATATATATATATATATTATTGATGAAATATAACTTTCAGTACCAACGACGAGTATATATATATATATATATATATATATATATATTATTGATGAAATATAACATTCAGTACCTAACGACCAGTATATATTGATATATATATATATATTATTGATGAAATATAACATTCAGTACCTAACGACCAGTATATATATATATATATATATATATATATATATATATATATATATATATATATATTATTGATGAAATATAACATTCAGTCCCTAATGACCAGTATATATTTATATATATATATATATATATATATATGTATATTATTGATGAAATATAACATTCACCATGCACCTAACGACCAGTATATATTTATATATATATATATATTATTGATGAAATATAACTTTCAGTACCAACGACCAGTATATATATATATATATTATTGATGAAATATAACATTCACCACCTAACGACCAGTATATATTGATATATATATATATTATTGATGAAATATAACATTCAGTACCTAACGACCAGTATATATTGATATATATATATATATTATTGATGAAATATAACATTCAGTACCTAACGACCGGTATATATTTATATATATATATATATTATTGATGAAATATAACATTCACCACCTAACGACCAGTATATATATATATATATATATATATATATATATATATATATATATATATATATATATATTATTGATGAAATATAACATTCAGTACCTAACGACTAGTATATGTCGCTGCTTGCGCGTGATTCAATATACAGCTGGCACCGAGGAGCCAGAGGTTAAATGGGGCTTAACGTCGCGTCCAAGATTATTGCACTTATATAGCGACGTGTGTGTGTGTGTGTGTATGTGTGTGTGTGTGTGTGTGTGTGCTTGTACTAGTCCGGACTGATGCCGATAAATAGTGCTAGCACTCTGAGACACCATGCCGCAGTTTAACGTGAATACCCCACTCAGACACAGTATACTGACTCCGAGACGACAAGTCCTTGTTTTAGCCCCTTAATGCCGAGCGTCAGACAGGGTAACAACAAGTACCATCCGTGAACGTCTTTTGGTATGACGCGGCCGGGGATCGACCGGGGATCTTCCGCTCTCCGGGCGGACGCTCTACCACTTGTTGGCACCGAACTTTCACGTTGTTATTTCTCCTGTAGAACATAAGATTTGTTTGTTGTTTAACGCCGCACTCAGCAATATTCCAGCTATATGACGGCGGGTAGAACATAAGAACCGTCTTGTAGTCTTCGTCCTTATTGTATAAAAGAGAGTTGTTGTCAATTTATTTCAGGAAACGGTCAAAACAACACCTAAATTGATAAGCTCACACTCCTTGCCTGAGACATATTAATCAAATTTGTGATGTCAAAAACTCATAAAAAAAAAACGTGTTCGATAAATATATCACAGACAAGGAGTGAGTATTTAGCTTATTATTAGGATGTCACATTAAACGTAATTAATCAGTATAACGCTTTACAGTCGAATTGGACATCAATAAATAAATTAGAATTATCAGTAGTAGTAGTAGTATACGTAGTAAATAGTATAACGGCGCCTGATATGAGTGGAGCGTCTATGCGGGGTTCAACCTCATCACGTGTGTTGTACAAGAATTCTGATTCTTTTCTAGCATCCTTGCAACAGTACTCAGAACAACAGTTTCTACATCGACGTTCTGGGTAATGTCGGGTGACGGGGGTCCTGGAACAACCACTCGGTATTTCGTAACTTTTGCTGATATGACTATTTGAAACTGAAAACCGATCAATGTTCGGAAAGAATACATATATTTAGTTGAATCAGAGATGGAGATTTGATACCTGTGACTGACCAATCAGAATCGAGAAATTACCCAGGGAACTCGTCAATGTATATTAATGACACGTAAAACCCATCTGATCATTGGTGGGAATAACAACAGGGTTCAACTAGGAATCATCCTCGATTACCCAGGGTTGCACATCCATTCTCCGATGTAAATACCCTGGTCACTCTCGCTACTATAATTACTGTTGGGTTCTCAGGGAGGAACGACATACGCGGAAGTAGGAGACGAGCCTGTCACTTGGCCGGCCGTTTATTCAAAACTGTCGCATGTTACATAACAGCACGTGACTACGCTTACCACGCAACTAATCACATTACAAGAGCGGACATCTGTTTTCCTGTCATGATATTATACACTAGTTACGGTGGTGAAGTGACGTGTGTTTCTTCTGATGAAAAAAGCAAACTATTGTTTCTGATACCGAGATTGTGTTGGTTAGTAATGAAGAACAACTGGCTACGGGTGAGACTTTATTCATTTAACGAATTTCATAAGTAATAGTCTGACGTAGGCCAAATGACGGATCTGTATTTCATTATATATACTTCAGTTTCAGAGTTTTCTGAATATGAGAAAAGTGACATGTTGTTGCAGTGAACATTACACTTGATATTTCACAACAGAGAACAGAACACTTTGACGGAACTATTGTCTTACAAGAGTTACCACCCCGCATAGCATCTCCCCTTTATCAAAGTGCCTAACGCATACACCTTACTGTTGACTTTCTATTTACGCAAGTTCCACATTCATATGGCAAAATAACGAAAGATGGTCATTTTTTAAAGTTAACATCGCTTCTTGCCGTTTGTTATTCTCTTGACCATTAACATGACCATGGAATATATGAATACACTACTTTCACTTTCTATAAAACTACAGGAAAAGTAAAGTGAAACTACTCGTGTCATTCACAGTCTGGTGATACAGTGTGTACAAGCATCACTACTTCAGTCTGACGGATTAAGTGTGTAAGTATCACCGTGTGTGTGTGTCTGTTTCTGTGTGGTTTGTGTCTGTGTGTGTGTGGTGTGTCCGTGTATGTGTGGTGTGTGTGTCTGTGTGCGTGTCTGTGTATGTTTGCGTGTGTCTGAGTGGTTTGTGTGTATGTGGTGTGTCCGTGTCTGTGTGGTGTGTGTCTGTGTGCGTGTGTATGTGTGTGTGCGTGTATGTCTGTATGTGTGTGTGTGTTTGTGTGTGTGCGTGTGTTGTCATGTCTGTGAATGTGAGATATGTCCACAAGACGGAATGTCAGGCTAGCTCCACGGGGATCCCTGCGTATTTATCGAGAGAGAACAGAATCGATATATTTGCTGGATGGAATCGAAAGCCGCAAACACGGTTTTCCCAATGAAAAACTATCAAGCACCAAAGCCGGACTCAATTCATCAATATAGAGTCCGGCATGTCGGATATATATATGTTGATCACACCTCCAGGAATTCCCTCAGGTTTCCTTCTTAATGAAGAAGATGAACCCGGACTTCTGCATGTTCATACTCATCACAAGTGTACAAGAGGCAGTCAATGTGGAAGCCGGGTGTCTTCTGTTAGCTCGCGAGAATGTACTCGTGGTGTTTATACGCCGCTTGCCCGGAAATGACACGAGAGGTCAACCTCCCTCAACAGGCAACTTGATTGGTTGTACCGCCAGATGTGAGGGAAATTTGAATTTGGATCTGAAAGGTAGTATACACGGTTTGTTTACAATGATTACGTTAAGAACAGTGTTTCTGCTATGTAACATGTATAACCCCCCTGATTGTGTTTCAGCTTGTATTCCCCCTGTCACTGTGCTGGACCTCAACGTGGTATAGGGGTGGCAACGTACTAGACGGCAAACGCAGCACACACAAACATGTCAACATTCAAGTAAGTCATCTCTTACATAATGTGATCTAAGGCTTGACGTATGACAACATTACTCTTGTCCATCCAGTACAAGTCAGAGATCCTGTTGTTATGGTTTTACTGGGTTGTTATCTCGTTGCTATGTTGAATATTCGAGTGAATACTTTGAATACTTTAAATTAATATACCCAAAAGTAACAGAGGCTGAATTATTTCACATATACGTTTTTTGTCGTTGTTTAGCTTTTCCAACGTAAACCTCGGAACACATGTTATCACTTGCACGTGAAACTCTCTACCATGTTAACTGAATGACAAAGTAAAAACTGGTGTCCGTTAGGGCCGTATATTTATTTTCACTTTCTTGAAAATTGAAAATGCTGATTTGAAAATTCAAGTTAAACATGTTGAAATTTGAAAGTACCAAGCTTGCAACTTCAAAATACTTATTAAAATGTCAAGTACAATATATATCTATACTGTACTTGACATTGTAATAAGTATTTTGAAGTTGCAAGCTTGGTAAAAGCTAAACAACGAAAAACGCATATGTGAAATAATTCAGACTTTGTCTTACACTGATTCGGGGCGGTCGGGTAGCCAAGTGGTTAAAGCGTTCGCTCGTCACGCCTAAGACCCGGGTTCGATTCCCGACATGGGTACAATGTGTGAAGCCCATTTGTGGTGTCCCCCGCCGTGATATTGCTGGAATATTGCTAAAAGCGGCGTAAAACCATACTCACTCACTCACTCACTCTTACACTGATTCAGTGGGCAATCATTCAATAAGAACATCAGGCATATCGCTATGTATAATAATACTAGGGATACTCAAGGGAATACTCCCCTTCAAATGTTTAACCTATGAAATCTGAGTCAACGTTTAAGCGAATTGTGACATATGTCCTCCTCTCACAGGCCTGTCATCGTGGCTGTGTCACTGGTGGTGTTGAACGCCATCCTGCTCGTGATACTGGTCACCATGGCAACCTACAAACTCACAGGCAACAGCACTGATAGAAGTAGATGCTCTCTCAATGTATCCGCAGTTCATGGACTGATGGTAGGAACAATATCCAGCATGCATTTAAAGTCATTTCATTATTCACAACTGCGCCCTTGTTTACATTTAATCACGAGCGCACGCGAATCACACCTACACCCCCACGTGCAGAACCAAAAAGCGTCCAAATCATTAAAAAAACAATGCAGAAACCAATTTTGTTGACTGTGTGCGAGATTTGATACTTACAGAAACACAAGATGCAATTAGAGAAACATCTCAGCCATTAACCATCATCTTATTGTCAAATTGTTTGATAGGCATTACTTAGAAGTTGATGGATGTCAAGATGACACAATTTTATGGATAACAACTTCTTTGTCTCTGTCAAACCACGGTATAAGGATCTATACCGAAACGTTGCTTTTCACAGTATTAAAGAAGTTGTTATCCATAAAATTGTGTCTATCTTGTCATCTTATTGTCATCATCAGTTTCATCTTGACAAGTCGCATCTTCCCCTCATGTTCCAGGTTAACGATGCATCAGCAGAGAGTCAGAGAGGTGAGATTCGCTTTTTTCGAGTAGTTTGTAAATTTGACAGATGTCCTCTGAATCGTGGTATTTGAAAGTTGTTATGAATATGCCTAACTCTACATCTACATCTACATCTACCTCTACCTCTACCTCTACCTCTACCTCTACATCTACCTCTACCTCTACCTCTACCTCTACATCTACCTCTACATCTACATCTACCTCTACATCTACATCTACATCTACATCTACCTCTACCTCTACATCTACATCTACCTCTACATCTACATCTACCTCTACATCTACATCTACATCTACATCTACCTCTACATCTACATCTACATCTACCTCTACATCTACATCTACATCTACATCTACATCTACCTCTACCTCTACATCTACATCTACCTCTACATCTACATCTACATCTACCTCTACATCTACATCTACATCTACATCTACCTCTACATCTACATCTACATCTACCTCTACATCTACATCTACATCTACATCTACATCTACCTCTACATCTACATCTACCTCTACATCTACATCTACATCTACATCTACCTCTACATCTACATCTACCTCTACATCTACATCTACATCTACCTCTACATCTACATCTACATCTACATCTACATCTACCTCTACATCTACATCTACATCTACCTCTACATCTACATCTACATCTACCTCTACATCTACATCTACCTCTACCTCTACATCTACATCTACATCTACATCTACATCTACCTCTACATCTACCTCTACATCTACATCTACATCTACATCTACCTCTACATCTACATCTACATCTACATCTACCTCTACATCTACATCTACCTCTACCTCTACATCTACATCTACCTCTACCTCTACATCTACATCTACCTCTACCTCTACATCTACATCTACATCTACCTCTACATCTACATCTACATCTACCTCTACATCTACATCTACCTCTACATCTACATCTACATCTACCTCTACCTCTACATCTACATCTACCTCTACATCTACATCTACATCTACATCTACATCTACCTCTACATCTACATCTACATCTACATCTACATCTACCTCTACATCTACATCTACATCTACCTCTACATCTACATCTACATCTACCTCTACCTCTACATCTACATCTACCTCTACATCTACATCTACCTCTACCTCTACATCTACATCTACATCTACATCTACATCTACCTCTACATCTACATCTACATCTACCTCTACATCTACATCTACCTCTACATCTACATCTACCTCTACATCTACCTCTACATCTACATCTACATCTACATCTACCTCTACATCTACATCTACATCTACCTCTACCTCTACCTCTACATCTACATCTACATCTACATCTACCTCTACATCTACATCTACATCTACCTCTACATCTACATCTACCTCTACATCTACATCTACATCTACCTCTACCTCTACATCTACATCTACCTCTACATCTACATCTACATCTACATCTACATCTACATCTACCTCTACATCTACATCTACATCTACATCTACATCTACCTCTACATCTACATCTACATCTACCTCTACATCTACATCTACATCTACCTCTACCTCTACCTCTACATCTACATCTACATCTACCTCTACCTCTACATCTACATCTACATCTACATCTACCTCTACATCTACATCTACATCTACCTCTACATCTACATCTACCTCTACATCTACATCTACCTCTACATCTACCTCTACATCTACATCTACATCTACATCTACCTCTACATCTACATCTACATCTACCTCTACCTCTACCTCTACATCTACATCTACATCTACATCTACATCTACCTCTACATCTACATCTACATCTACCTCTACCTCTACATCTACATCTACATCTACCTCTACCTCTACATCTACATCTACCTCTACATCTACCTCTACATCTACATCTACCTCTACATCTACCTCTACATCTACATCTACATCTACATCTACCTCTACATCTACATCTACATCTACCTCTACATCTACATCTACATCTACCTCTACATCTACCTCTACATCTACATCTACCTCTACCTCTACCTCTACATCTACCTCTACATCTACATCTACATCTACCTCTACATCTACATCTACCTCTACATCTACCTCTACCTCTACATCTACATCTACCTCTACATCTACATCTACATCTACCTCTACATCTACCTCTACATCTACATCTACATCTACCTCTACCTCTACCTCTACATCTACATCTACATCTACATCTACCTCTACATCTACATCTACATCTACCTCTACATCTACATCTACATCTACATCTACCTCTACATCTACATCCACCTCTACATCTACATCTACATCTACCTCTACCTCTACATCTACATCTACATCTACCTCTACATCTACATCTACATCTACCTCTACCTCTACATCTACATCTACATCTACCTCTACCTCTACATCTACATCTACCTCTACATCTACCTCTACATCTACATCTACCTCTACATCTACATCTACATCTACCTCTACCTCTACATCTACCTCTACATCTACATCTACATCTACCTCTACATCTACATCTACCTCTACATCTACATCTACATCTACATCTACCTCTACATCTACATCTACATCAACATCTACATCTACCTCTACCTCTACCTCTACCTCTACATCTACATCTACCTCTACATCTACCTCTACCTCTACATCTACATCTACATCTACCTCTACATCTACATCTACCTCTACATCTACATCTACCTCTACATCTACCTCTACATCTACCTCTACATCTACATCTACATCTACCTCTACCTCTACATCTACATCTACCTCTACATCTACATCTACCTCTACATCTACATCTACCTCTACCTCTACATCTACATCTACATCTACCTCTACATCTACATCTACCTCTACATCTACATCTACATCTACCTCTACATCTACATCTACATCTACCTCTACATCTACATCTACATCTACATCTACCTCTACATCTACATCTACATCTACATCTACCTCTACCTCTACATCAACATCTACCTCTACATCTACCTCTACCTCTACCTCTACCTCTACATCTACATCTACATCTACCTCTACATCTACCTCTACCTCTATATCTACCTCTACCTCTACCTCTACCTCTACATCTACCTCTACCTCTACCTCTACATCTACCTCTACCTCTACCTCTACCTCTACCTCTACATCTACCTCTACATCTACCTCTACCTCTACCTCTACATCTACATCTACCTCTACCTCTACATCTACCTCTACATCTACCTCTACATCTACATCTACCTCTACATCTACATCTACCTCTACCTCTACATCTACCTCTACATCTACATCTACCTCTACCTCTACATCTACATCTACATCTACCTCTACATCTACATCTACCTCTACATCTACATCTACATCTACCTCTACATCTACATCTACATCTACATCTACCTCTACATCTACATCTACCTCTACCTCTACCTCTACATCTACCTCTACATCTACATCTACATCTACATCTACCTCTACATCTACCTCTACATCTACATCTACATCTACATCTACCTCTACCTCTACATCTACATCTACATCTACCTCTACATCTACATCTACCTCTACATCTACCTCTACATCTACATCTACCTCTACATCTACCTCTACCTCTACCTCTACATCTACATCTACATCTACATCTACATCTACATCTACCTCTACCTCTACATCAACATCTACCTCTACATCTACCTCTACCTCTACCTCTACATCTACCTCTACCTCTACCTCTACATCTACATCTACATCTACATCTACCTCTACATCTACATCTACATCTACCTCTACATCTACCTCTACCTCTACATCTACATCTACCTCTACCTCTACATCTACCTCTACATCTACATCTACATCTACCTCTACATCTACATCTACCTCTACATCTACCTCTACATCTACATCTACCTCTACATCTACATCTACATCTACATCTACATCTACATCTACCTCTACATCAACATCTACCTCTACCTCTACATCTACCTCTACATCTACATCTACATCTACATCTACATCTACCTCTACATCTACATCTACATCTACATCTACATCTACCTCTACCTCTACCTCTACCTCTACATCTACCTCTACATCTACATCTACCTCTACATCTACCTCTACCTCTACCTCTACCTCTACCTCTACATCTACATCTACATCTTCATCTACCTCTACCTCTACATCTACATCTACATCTACATCTACCTCTACATCTACATCTACCTCTACATCTACATCTACATCTACCTCTACATCTACATCTACATCTACCTCTACCTCTACATCTACATCTACATCTACATCTACATCTACATCTACCTCTACCTCTACATCTACATCTACCTCTACATCTACATCTACATCTACATCTACAGTGTTGAATGTGTTTACAGTGGAAGCCTTATCGCGGAATATCGCCAACATCTACAACGACAGAGGCAACGTTGACAAAGCAGCAGCCCACATCATCATCGACCCTGGGGCTAAATATACAGGTAACACATGCAATATTCAGCATCACTGGTCATAACAAGTATAACACATGCAATATTCAGCATCACTGGTCATAACAAGAATAACATATGCAATATTCCGCATCACTGGTCATAACAAGTATAACACATGCAATATTCAGCATCACTGGTCATAACAAGAATAACACATGCAATATTCAGCATCACTGGTCATTACAAGAATAACACATGCAATATTCAGCATCACTGGTCATAACAAGAAGAACACATGCAATATTCAGCATCACTGGTCATAACAAGAATAACATATGCAATATTCAGCATCACTGGTCATAACAAGAATATTACATCCAATATTCAGCATCACTGGTCATTACAAGAATAACACATGCAATATTTGGCATCACTGGTCATTACAAGAATAACACATACAATATTCAGCATCACTGGTCATAACAAGAATAACATGTGCAATATTCAGCATCACTGGTCATAACAAGTATAACACATGCAATATTCAGCATCACTGGTCATAACAAGAATAACATATGCAATATTCAGCATCACTGGTCATAACAAGTATAACACATGCAATATTCAGCATCACTGGTCATTACAAGAATAACACATACAATATTCAGCATCACTGGTCATAACAAGAATAACACATGCAATATTCAGCATCACTAGTCATAACAAGTATAACACATGCAATATTCAGCATCACTGGTCATAACAAGTATAACACATGCAATATTCAGCATCACTGGTCATAACAAGAATAACACATGCAATATTCAGCATCACTGGTCATAACAAGAATAACACATGCAATATTCAGCATCACTGGTCATAACAAGAATAACACATACAATATTCAGCATCACTGGTCATAACAAGAATAACATATGCAATATTCAGCATCACTGGTCATAACAAGTATAACACATACAATATTCAGCATCACTGGTCATAATAAGAATAACACATGCAATATTCAGCATCACTTGTCATTACAAGAATGATGCATGCAATATTCAGCATCACTGGTCATAACAAGAATATTACATCCAATATTCAGCATCACTGGTCATAACAAGTATAACACATGCAATATTCAGCATCACTGGTCATAACAAGTATAACACATGCAATATTCAGCATCACTTGTCATTACAAGAATGATGCATGCAATATTCAGCATCACTGGTCATAATAAGAATAACACATGCAATATTCAGCATCACTGGTCATAACAAGAATAACACATGCAATATTCAGCATCACTGGTCATAACAAGTATAACACATGCAATATTCAGCATCACTTGTCATTACAAGAATGATGCATGCAATATTCAGCATCACTGGTCATAATAAGAATATCACATGCAATATTCAGCATCACTTGTCATTACAAGAATGATGCATGCAATATTCAGCATCACTGGTCATAATAAGAATAACACATGCAATATTCAGCATCACTGGTCATAACAAGAATAACACATGCAATATTCAGCATCACTGGTCATAACAAGAATAACACATGCAATATTCAGCATCACTGGTCATAACAAGTATAACACATGCAATATTTGGCATCACTGGTCATAACAAGTATAACACATGCAATATTCAGCATCACTGGTCATAACAAGTATAACACATGCAATATTCAGCATCACTGGTCATTACAAGAATAACACATGCAATATTCAGCATCACTGGTCATAACAAGAATAACACATGCAATATTCAGCATCACTGATCATAATAAGAATAACACATGCAATATTCAGCATCACTGGTCATAACAAGAATAACACATGCAATATTTAACATCACTGGTCATAACAAGTATAACATGTGCAACATTTAACATCAGATTCCATAACAAGAATAACATGGAACTATTCAGTATCAGTGTTGATAACAAGAATAACACATGGAATATTCAACATCACTGCTCAAATCAAGAATAACATGTGCGATATTCAACTGCAGTGTTCAAATCAAGAATAACATGTGCAATATTCAACTTCAGTGTTCAAATCAAGAATAACGTGTGTAATATTCATCATCAGTGTTCAAATCAAGAAAAAGTTTGCAATATTCAACATCAGTTTTCAAATCAGGAATAACATGTGCAATATTCAACATCAGTGTTCAAATCAAGAATAACGTGCAATATTCAACATCAGTGTTCAAATCAAGAAAAACGTTTGCAATATTCAACATCAGTGTTCAAATCAAGAATAACATGTGCAATATTCAACATCAAGGTTCAAATCAAGAATAACATGTGCAATATTCAACGGCAGTGTTCAAATCAAGAAAAACGTTTGCAATATTCAACATCAGTGTTCAAATCAAGAATAACGTTTACAATATTCAACTGCAGTGTTCAAATCAAGAATAACGTTTGCAATATTCAACATCAGTGTTCAAATCAAGAATAACATGTGCAATATTCAACGGCAGTGTTCAAATCAAGAAAAACGTTTGCAATATTCAACATCAGTGTTCAAATCAAGAATAACGTTTACAATATTCAACATCAGTGTTCAAATCAAGAATAACGTTTGCAATATTCAACATCAGTGTTCAAATCAAGAATAACATGTGCGATATTCAACTGCAGTGTTCAAATCAAGAATAACATGTGTAATATTCATCATCAGTGTTCAAATCAAGAAAAACGTTCGCAATATTCAACATCAGTGTTCAAATCAAGAAAAACGTTTGCAATATTCAACATCAGTGTTCAAATCAAGAATAACATGTGCAATATTCAACATCAGTGTTCAAATCAAGAATAACATGTGTAATATTCAACATCAGTGTTCAAATCAAGAATAACGTTTGCAATATTCAACATCAGTGTTCAAATCAAGAATAACGTTTACAATATTCAACATCAGTGTTCAAATCAAGAATAACGTTTGCAATATTCAACATCAGTGTTCAAATCAAGAATAACATGTGCGATATTCAACTGCAGTGTTCAAATCAAGAATAACGTGTGTAATATTCATCATCAGTGTTCAAATCAAGAAAAACGTTTGCAATATTCAACATCAGTGTTCAAATCAAGAAAAACGTTTGCAATATTCAACATCAGTGTTCAAATCAAGAATAACATGTGCAATATTCAACATCAGTGTTCAAATCAAGAATAACATGTGCAATATTCAACATCAGTGTTCAAATCAAGAATAACATGTGTAATATTCATCATCAGTGTTCAAATTAGAAAAACCCGTTTGCAATATTCAACATCAGTGTTCAAATCAAGAATAACATGTGCAATATTCAACATAAGTGTTCAAATCAAGAATAACAGGTGCAATATTCAACTGCAGTGTTCAAATCAAGAATAACATGTGCAATATTCAACATAAGTGTTCAAATCAAGAATAACATGTGCAATATTCAACATAAGTGTTCAAATCAAGAATAACATGTGCAATATTCAACATAAGTGTTCAAATCAAGAATAACATGTGCAATATTCAACATAAGTGTTATCTTACCATGTATGTAAAGAAACTGTGCAGGCGATCGAAATATTTTTTGAAACTTGTTTTTTTCATTCTTTAGGACATTTGTCTTAGTGTTAGTGTGCGATACAGCCGCACGTCACAAGGCCCTTCACGGGTGGCATGTTGCTGACGTTCATTGTATAGTCTCTGACATCATAGTGGCTTCCTGCAAGTGACGTACATTGTATAGTCTGTGACATCATAGTAGCCTCCTGCAGGTGACGTACATTGTATAGTCTGTGACATCATAGTGGCTTCCTGCAAGTGACGTACATTGTATAGTCTGTTGCATCATAGTGGCTTCCTGCAGGTGACGTACATTGTATAGTCTGTGACATCATAATGGCTTCCTGCAGGTGACGTTCCCACGCTGAGCTGGAGACAGGACCTGGACGCCACGTTTGTCAGTGAAAAGATGTCCTACACAGACGGGGGTCTGACTGTGACACATGGAGGCTACTACTTCATCTACAGCCAGGTAGACTCAATATAACATCTGCATTGAATACGATAACTTGTGGTGTGCCTCCACGTTCTCATTGTACAAACAGGCATCTACTACTAGACAGCAGACCTTCCGCTCTCCGGGACACCGAGTGTGTTTTAACCTTCTTATAAACAAACTTAATGCAGGAGTGAATATGAATGTAGGTAGAGCTTCGGACATATTGCTGTACACTGGAATAATCAAAGTCACCATGTGATTCACTTTAACTGGATAGTTTTAGGTTAAGTGGTTGTCATGTTGGTCAAATTGTCTGAAGGTGGACGTTGATGGTGTATATTATATAGTATGGTGTATATAGTATATTATTGTCTTGATTGCTACAGATCGTGTACAGTGGCAGCGGAACCCAGGAGTTGGACTATGGGCGGATCATTCACGCTGTGGTGAAACAGAAGGCGTCAGAGCTGGAGGAAGCACCAACACCCCTGATGAGGAACCTACAGTCCACCCCCAGCATCAGACGGGGACGTCCCGCCTACACCACCAGCAGCCTCGGGGCCACCTTCTACCTGGAGGCCAACACCAGGGTCAAGGTCATGTCCAGTGTTCCCGGGAACATCCATGTCGGAGCACCTCAGTCCAACTACTTTGGGATGTTCCTGATATAATGGCCAGTGTTCCCGGGAACATCCATGCCAGAACACCTTACCCCACCTACTGTGCCTACTGTGAGATGTTCCTGACATCATGCTCAATGTTCCCTGGAGGCGACTGTTTTGTATTCGCGGGAGGTGAATTGCGATGTACTTTGATGTTTCTTGTTGTTTTACTGTGTTTATTAAGGGATTATGACTGAGGGTCAGCGTTTGAACTTGACCTGTGCCCACCGAGAACAGTTGCAAGTCCATACCCTACTTCCAAAAGGGAAGAAATATGAGGATCAGCAGAGAGGACTTGACGATTTGAAGAGAAACTGCACGACCACTCAGTGAATGTATATACGCGAATGGCGTGTCACATGTTTTGAAATCAGCTCAACGTACGTGCAATAAGTCTATGATTTTAAATGATTTATTATAATAATATAATGTGCTATGTTTAAAATGTATTATTTGCATCAAGTGTAGTATATTTCTATTGTAAGGAGTGAATAAATCAAAGGTAATGACATATGACGTGGAGTATATACTTTTGATACGACCCTACCCACAGAAGACGTAAGCCATGCACCTCTCGTTGTGTAAGTCAGTTGGACAGCAGATACGCCCCAGGACGGCAAACAGCCAACATGTACTATGTTGTTATTCCCAAGAAAAAGTCTCCTTCATGAGATTTTTTACTTCCCTAGCTCAGGTTTTACATTTTCAACTAACACCGAGTAGAGGTCAGGTGAAATAGGGTTTAACGTCGCATCTAAGATTATTGCACTTATATAGCGATGAGAGAGAGAGAGAGAGAGAGAGAGAGAGAGAGAGAGAGAGAGAGAGAGAGAGAGAGAGAGAGAGAGAGAGAGAGAGAGAGAGAGAGAGAGAGAGAGAGAGAGAGAGAGAGAGAGAGAGAGAGAGAGAGAGAGAGAGAGAGAGAGAGAGAGAGAGAGAGAGAGAGAGAGAGAGAGAGAGAGAATTGTTTTGTAAGATTAAACACCCTTTCATCACCTGCCACGGTGGCTTGCCGGTTAGATACACTCCATCGAATATAATTCGTGTAAAACGTTTATGCATTTTGAAAGGATGTATATGTAAAAACAATCGAGGACATTCTTAGTTGGTATCAGCGTCAGGTGACATGCTCCTATTCCTGAGGAGTTATGGATTATGTGAACTTAACTTCAAAGCTTCGGATCAGACTGGTGGACCAGCTGGACGTTGGACAGGGAACGAGTGTACATGGGTTGCATTCAACACGCATGTTTCAGTATAACATGCAAGAGTCCTGTGTGCCTTTGTATGTCAGTCAGTCACGTAATGCTATTGTATATGTGGAGTCATACAGTCATGTGTATGTATATACGTAAGTACATGGCACGCCACGAGATTCTATACATATACGTGACAGATACAGGTCACCCAACACTTTGCACACTGACCTTGATTCTAGTCACGCACACATGCAAAGGCTTAGATCATTCATTGGAAGTGACTAGCACCACATCTATGGAGAAGTGACTAGCACCACCTCTATGGAGAAGTGACTAGCACCACCTCTATGGAGAAGTGACAAGCACCACCTCTATGGAAGAAGTGCCTCAACAAGAGACTTAATTAAACTCATTATTCCTTATGTTCAGCAGTGTTCTCGGATGGTTGTTTACCGCCGCACTCAGCAATATTCCAGCTATATGAAAATATAAATGTAAGTAATCGAGTCTGGACCAGACAATCCCGTGATTGACACCATGAGCATCAATCCACGCATTTGGGATACGATGACATGCATCAACCAAGTCAGCGAGCCTGATCACTCGATCCTGTTAGCCGCCTCTTACGACAAGCATAGTCGCCTGATTCAACTCTGTTCCCGATTCAACAGAACCCCTATCCTGTCCTGTAACCAGATGTCAGATCACAGGCGTCGTTCTTACAACAGATAGGAATATCAAACAATCCAGAAATACCCGACTAATCCTGAGGAATAATTCACCCATGACATACTACATGGCAACTTTGCACTCATGTCATTGTGTATTATAAGGATAAAACCCATTTCTGAAACTATCCTTTATCACCTGATTACAATACGTTCCTGAAGATTGCATTGTTATCACATCAGAACCAATCTAAAATACCCGCTAATCCAAATTCAATAATTCTGTGATATTTAAGTGGGAAGATCAGTAAAATCCCCTTGCATTGCACATGTCTGTATTGGGCAGTGCAGGAACCTTAAAGTACCAGGAACAAGTTCAGTGTTGTGAAGGCTTGTGACAAAACCAAACAAAAACCTCCTGCTCTCATCGATATTAGACACCACAGTACAACCATTGAATCACAACAACACAACACACCCTCCACTAGTGATGAACTCAGCATTTGTTGAAGAGAATCATCAATCTAAGTCGTACATGATGGATTGTCGAAGACGATTATTAAAATTTGACAATGTAGGGAAATAAATTTTGAAAATGAAAGTGTACAAGAAAATATAAGACAAATAATTCTCATTGTTTGTACAACTTTCTGTTGTACATCATCACTGCTAGGAAGTGCAACTGTTGTGTTGTTTGGCCGTCATCCAAGCCATGTGTCATGTGTCATGTGTCATGTTTGTGTGACTTTTGTACCAGCGTTTGACATCAAGCACAGATCACATGAATCTACCACCTGTCACTTCCTGAACCCCGGATGCACATGGTCGGGAGGCCGAGATTGTTTGATGAGATTGTCATCATGATGAAGACAATCAGGATGAGAGAGATGCACATGGTCGGAAGGCTGAGATTGTTTGATGAGATTGTCATCATGATGAAGACAATCAGGATGAGAGTGATGGTCATGGCTGGAGCTGAGTCATCTTCCGGACCGTGTGTACGTACATAGAGCCTCTGAGTTTTTCCACTTTTATCAACTCACGTTGATATATTTGATATCAAAAGACACGAGGGTGAAATTTTATTTATCATCCAACATCCACTTTTTGAGTTTGTAGACAGTAATTAGCAGTGTCTTCAGTGTAAAAAGTACTGCTAACAGTTTAAGTAGTAGAGACATTAGTGATGTCATTTGATTGTGACGTCATGGTAACAATGACGTCACAACGGTCTGCAAAGCATTGTGATGCAATTTCATTGCAGCGATAACTACAATGTAGATATCGCTTGATCTCACCCAAGCGATATTTGCTGTTGGAGCCAGTTTTGGCTGATAACTGACCACACCCACACAGCCAGTATGATTCAGTGTTTTATTCATTTTAGTCAGAACAGTACAATAACATAAAATACGATCACAATAACAAACAGACAACAAGAAGTGAGATTAAAATAACATTAGACATAAATTCAGAATTAGTTAAAAAGAAACCTCTTAAAACATTGTAATTTGTCCCTACCCGAAGTACAAGTGAAGTCGGACAAATAGGACAAGATTTTTCTCATGGCCACAACATCTTTAATTTCACAGTCACATTATAATATAGTGTTGCAGTAAGAAACAGGTGTTAATGTTCTATTTATAGGAGGTGTATACTTGGTGTTTATATCAGTGACTCGGATCATGCAATCGTACCCTGCATGATGGTGCATCTGTACACTGACATGTGCAGACATTGTAACAGTTGGATTTGTTGTACATGAGGAAAATGCTGTAACAATATCAACAACATCAACAACATCAATAACATCAACAACCTCATTTAACACAAGATGTAAAAAAACCCATCGAAACAGACATTCAGAATGGCTGCCATATTTACAACTGCAACAGCACGGCAGATAGATCATGTGCAGGTACACACGGATATGTCCACCAACTGACAGATCAACACAGCAGGACTCTGTGATATACACAGATATGTCCACCAACTGACAGATCAACACAGCAGGACTCTGTGATATACACAGATATGTCCACCAACTGACAGATCCACCCAGCAGGACTCTGTGATATACACAGATATGTCCACCAACTGACAGATCAACACAGCAGGACTCCGTGATATACACAGATATGTCCACCAACTGACAGATCAACACAGCAGGACTCTGTGATATACACAGATATGTCCACCAACTGACAGATCAACACAGTAGGACTCTGTGATATACACAGATATGTCCACCAACTGACAGATCAACACAGCAGGACTCCGTGATATACACAGATATGTCTATCAACTGACAGATCAACACAGCAGGACTCCGTGATATACACAGATATGTCCACCAACTGACAGATCCACACAGCAGGACTCTGTGATATACACAGATATGTCCATCAACTGACAGATCAACACAGCAGGACTCTGTGATATACACAGATATGTCCACTAACTGACAGATCAACACAGTAGGACTCTGTGATATACACAGATATGTCCACTAACTGACAGATCAACACAGCAGGACTCCGTGATATACACAGATATGTCCACTAACTGACAGATCCACACAGCAGGACTCTGTGATATACACAGATATGTCCATCAACTGACAGATCCACACAGCAGGACTCCGTGATATACACAGATATGTCAACTAACTGACAGATCAACACAGCAGGACTCCGTGATATACACAGATATGTCCACCAACTGACAGATCCACACAGCAGGACTCTGTGATACATATTGTACAGTACAATGTTGTACATATTGTACAGTACAATGCTGTACAGGTGGTACAGTACAATTTTGAACAGTACAATGTTTATTTACAGTTTACATGGCACAAAGGAATAGAATCCGATTGCTGTAATAGCCATGATGCCTAGTGCATGTGCACCGAGGCCTTGTATACACAGCAGGAGGAAACAGCATCAGCATCAGCACAGGACGAGTTGAGCAGAGGGAAGCAGGCCAGGGACAGGCAGGGTCGTCAGAGTTGTCTCCCTTGTACTGCCAGGCAGTGTCTCGTCCATGTTGTGCAGCAGGGCAATGAACACACATTCAGAGTTACCTCCCTTGATTGTTAACAGGACCTCAACATATCATGTGCACAACTGTGCACCTAGACACAACCGTGCACCTAGACACAACCGTGCACCTAGACACAACCGTGCACCTAGACACAACCGTGCACCTAGACACAACCGTGCACCTAGACACAACCGTGCACCTAGACACAACCGTGCACCTAGACACAACCGTGCACCTAGACACAACCGTGCACCTAGACACAACCGTGCACCTAGATACACAACTTTTCAGGAGAATCTGCCATCATTGATTCATCATATAGTCTGTGTATTCAGATCTTCCAACTCCAAAGTCTGAGGATCATCACTTGAAGCCTGAGTAAGTCCTGCACACGTCACGAGTCAGACGATGAACGTCCGTCAGCTAACAGCCACTGAATGTCAGGTGCCAGCATAATGCCAGAAATATCACAATGCTGATGTATTGCAGTTTGCGGTCCACATTTCCCGGCAAGAAGCAGATTGACTCAATCACATCACCTGTCAGAGCAATCATCCTGTGACTGAGCAATCATCACATATCAGAGCAATCATCCCGTGATGGAGCAATCACCCTTTGTAAGAAGAAGAGAACTTAAGATTCATCACAGGTAGTTTAATCAGATCAACTCCTGGGTCAACAGTCCACGTTCTTGGGTCACCACTGACTGGTGTTGCACGCACAGAAGTAGTTCAGCCATCTCGGATTGTTTGTTCTTCTGTTGTTTCAAAGATGATCCTTAATCTCACAAATCCAGATCTGAAACACACAGATCCAGAGTTGGAAAGGCATCAACTTTTTTCTAAGTTAGAATGAAATAAACAACAATATCAACTCTGCATGTCATGGTTAAATTTGGATAAAACGTCTGTGGAGATGTTTTTGAACAATTTTATGAATCATAAAGGCTAAACTTATGATTCATTGTCTCAGCAAAAACAGTCAAGCACACACACAATATATGTAGATCAAGAGGATGGCCCCAAACACCTCTCTCTTTAACTGACCTTCTGATGTACATCCAGAGGACGGCCCCGAACACCCTTCTCTTTAACTCACCTTCTGATGTACATCCAGAGGACGGCCCTAAACACCTCTTCAACTCACCTTCTGATGTACATCCAGAGGACGGCCCTAAACACCTCTTCAACTCACCTTCTGATGTACATCCAGAGGACGGCCCTAAACACCTCTTTAACTCACCTTCTGATGTACATCCAGAGGACGGCCCCGAACACCCTTCTCTTCAACTCACCTTCTGATGTAGATCCAGAGGACGGCCCCGAACACCTTTCTCTTCAACTCACCTTCTGATGTACATCCAGAGGACGGCCCCGAACACCCTTCTCTTTAACTGACCTTCTGATGTACATCCAGAGGACGGCCCCGAACACCTTTCTCTTCAACTCACCTTCTGATGTAGATCCAGAGGACGGCCCCGAACACCCTTCTCTTTAACTGACCTTCTGATGTACATCCAGAGGACGGCCCCGAACACCTTTCTCTTTAACTGACCTTCTGATGTACATCCAGAGGACGGCCCCGAACACCTTTCTCTTCAACTCACCTTCTGATGTACATCCAGAGGACGGCCCCGAACACCTTTCTCTTTAACTGACCTTCTGATGTACATCCAGAGGACGGCCCCGAACACCTTTCTCTTCAACTCACCTTCTGATGTACATCCAGAGGACGGCCCCGAACACCCTTCTCTTTAACTGACCTTCTGATGTACATCCAGAGGACGGCCCCGAACACCCTTCTCTTCAACTCACCTTCTGATGTAGATCCAGAGGACGGCCCCAAACAGCTCTTTGAGGACAACAATGGCCATGAAGACGGCCACAGTCTGGCAGGTGTTGATGATGATGTGCCTCATCCCATCCAGGAGGGCCCTCAGCTGCTGGTCCGCGATGTCGTCCTTGGCGCTCGGCGACCTGAAACACAGTCACATGATCAGGACGACCCAGGAACAAGACTTTCCTTTATCTTCTCGTACTGATCTAGTCCCTATGATGAACTTTATAGTACAGCTCACTTGCGTTTCAGCGAATAAAGAACCAATAGTGAAATGATTTGAACGCAAACCCTATCATTCATCATTTATTGAAAGCCTAAATACATAGTCCTGAGAGACAGCTGATTCTGTGCATGATACCACATTGTGAGTGTCACACGTCCAGGGAGGTCATAACAAAGATGAGTACCTGAAGTAGAAGTTGGGCCACACAGGAGCAAAGCGACATCCCGGGGTGGAGATCCTGTAGGTGTGTTCTGTGTCCTCGGGGGCGGAACAGTTGACGTTCATCCCGAGGTGGGTGAGGTAGCGACAGTAAGTCTCATTGTGGACCGACCTCATGGCCTCCAGCTCCTGTCGGTGCACCTCCAGGATGCGCTGGTGACGTTCGATGTACGCAACCATCCAGCTCTGGTAGGACGGGTACTCCACGCTGTTAATCTGCTCCGCGTGAGACAGGATCCGGCTGTTGATCATCTCCTGCTGCAGGCCAAGGTACTTGTTCTGGAAACAGTCAAACAGGAGGAACATTCAACATGTAGAACAGTCAAACAGTAGGAACACTCAACAATTAGAAAAGTCAAACAGGAGGAACGTTCTACACGTAGGACAGTCAAACAGTAGGAACATTCAACAGGTAGAACAGTCAAACAGGTGGAACAGTCAAACAGGGGTAACAGTCAAACAGGTGGAACAGTCAAACAGGGGTAACAGTCAAACAGGTGGAACAGTCAAACAGGGGTAACAGTCAAACAGGTGGAACAGTCAAACAGGGGTAACAGTCAAACAGGTGGAACAGTCAAACAGGTGGAACAGTCAAACAGGTGGAACAGTCAAACAGGGGTAACAGTCAAATAGGTGGAACAGTCAAACAGGTGGAACAGTCAAGTTCTTGCAGAAACAGAGCCAGGCCCCTTCACCTCCTTCCTCGAAGCCTCCAGTCTAAATGTACCACCATGTACTTCAAGTCTAAATGTACCACCATGTACTTCCAGTCTAAATGTACCACCATGTACTTCCAGTCAAAAACATTCCCTGTGGACTCTAGTCGCTTCTGTTGACAAGCATAGTTGCCCTTCATGACAAGCATGGGTTGCTGAAAACTTATTCTACGCTGGATCTTCACGGTCGATTGTACAAGTACAATGTGCAACAGTAACTGTCAATGAATGACACCAGCATGCTTCACAATAACCTCAAAGATGAACCAACAGGAGACGTGGTTGGATCTGTAAGGCACATGCAAATGTAACGCTTCATGCTTTAAGAGAGGTAGAAAGTGACCTAGATATAACCATATTTTACAAAAGACTGAACACTACAGGACACACTCACCATGTCATAGTGGAGGCCAAGAATAGTTCCCTACAGGGGGCTACACTACAGGACAGACTCACCATGTCGTAGTGGAAGCCAAGACTAGTTCCCTACAGGGGGCTACACTACAGGACAGACTCACCATGTCGTAGTGGAGGCCAAGACTAGTTCCCTACAGGGGGCTACACTACAGGACAGACTCACCATGTCGTAGTGGAAGCCAAGACTAGTTCCCTACAGGGGGCTACACTACAGGACACACTCACCATGTCGTAGTGGAGGCCAAGACTAGTTCCCTACAGGGGGCTACACTACAGGACAGACTCACCATGTCGTAGTGGAAGCCAAGACTAGTTCCCTACAGGGGGCTACACTACAGGACACACTCACCATGTCGTAGTGGAGGCCAAGACTAGTTCCCTACAGGGGGCTACACTACAGGACACACTCACCATGTCGTAGTGGAAGCCAAGACTAGTTCCCTACAGGGGGCTACACTACAGGACAGACTCACCATGTCGTAGTGGAGGCCAAGACTAGTTCCCTAAAGGGGGCTACACTACAGGACACACTCACCATGTCATAGTGGAGGCCAAGAATAGTTCCCTACAGGGGGCTACACTACAGGACACACTCACCATGTCGTAGTGGAAGCCAAGACTAGTTCCCTACAGGGGGCTACACTACAGGACAGACTCACCATGTCATAGTGGAGGCCAAGACTAGTTCCCTACAGGGGGCTACACTACAGGACAGACTCACCGTGTCTTAGTGCAGGCCAAGACTAGTTCCCTACAGGGGGCTACACTACAGGACAGACTCACCATGTCGTAGTGGAGGCCAAGACTAGTTCCCTACAAGGGGCTACACTACAGGACAGACTCACCATGTCATAGTGGAGACCAAGACTAGTTCCCTACAGGGGGCTACACTACAGGACAGACTCACCGTGTCTTAGTGCAGGCCAAGACTAGTTCCCTACAGGGGGCTACACTACAGGACACACTCACCATGTCGTTGTGGAGGCCAAGACTAGTTCCCTACAGGGGGCTACACTACAGGACAGATTCACCAAGTCGTAGTGGAGGCCAAGACTAGTTCCCTACAGGGGGCTACACTACAGGACAGACTCACCATGTCGTAGTTGAGGCCAAGACTAGTTCCCTACAGGGGGCAACACTACAGGACACACTCACCATGTCATAGTGGAGGCCAAGACTCTTGAGCATGTCCTGTGTGAAGATCTTGTCTGAGACGCTCACGGTCGTGTAGAGGATGACGCACAGGACGACGGTCACTGCTGCCTTTGGAATGAACAGGGTGGACACAACCTGAAACAGCAACATGTTTAATACTCTGTTACTGTCACACTGGCACAAGCAGCCAGCCACATAGCTGGATAAAACAACCAGCAAGCTGCACACCAGAATATACTTTGTTACACAGTGGTGTTTGCTTCCTAATATGACCTCCGTTATCTGTCTTCAAGGTAAACTATCCACAGGCCTCTCTGCATAAGGACCAGCACAGCAGAGCCTGTAAATGGAGTGTCAATTTGTTACTTAAAACTCCACAATCTGCCCAGATCCCAGCAAATTCTGACCCCTGGAGGATAGAAATGATCACAACCAGCCATCTACGTACCTGAGGCAGATAATCAGATATGAATGTACCTGGATAGCACAGCCAGCTACGTACTGGAGGCAGATAATCAGATATGAATGTACCTGGATAGCACAGCCAGCTACGTACTGGAGGCAGATAATCAGATATGAATGTACCTGGATAGCACAGCCAGCTACGTACAGGAGGCAGATAATCAGATATGAATGTACCTGGATAGCACAACCAGCTACGTACGGGAGGCAGATAATCAGATATGAATGTACCTGGATAGCACAACCAGCTACGTACCGGAGGCAGATAATCAGATATGAATGTACCTGGATAGCACAGCCAGCTACGTACGGGAGGCAGATAATCAGATATGAATGTACCTGGATAGCACAACCAGCTACGTACCGGAGGCAGATAATCAGATATGAATGTACCTGGATAGCACAACCAGCTACGTACTGGAGGCAGATAATCAGATATGAATGTACCTGGATAGCACAACCAGCTACGTACCTGAGGCAGATAATCAGATATGAATGTACCTGGATAGCACAACCAGCTACGTACCGGAGGCAGATAATCAGATATGAATGTACCTGGATAGCACAACCAGCTACGTACCGGAGGCAGATAATCAGATATGAATGTACCTGGATAGCACAGCCAGCTACGTACTGGAGGCAGATAATCAGATATGAATGTACCTGGATAGCACAACCAGCTACGTACCGGAGGCAGATAATCAGATATGAATGTACCTGGATAGCACAGCCAGCTACGTACTGGAGGCAGATAATCAGATATGAATGTACCTGGATAGCACAACCAGCTACGTACCTGAGGCAGATAATCAGATATGAATGTACCTGGATAGCACAACCAGCTACGTACCGGAGGCAGATAATCAGATATGAATGTACCTGGATAGCACAACCAGCTACGTACCGGAGGCAGATAATCAGATATGAATGTACCTGGATAGCACAGCCAGCTACGTACTGGAGGCAGATAATCAGATATGAATGTACCTGGATAGCACAACCAGCTACGTACCGGAGGCAGATAATCAGATATGAATGTACCTGGATAGCACAACCAGCTACGTACCGGAGGCAGATAATCAGATATGAATGTACCTGGATAGCACAGCCAGCTACGTACCGGAGGCAGATAATCAGATCTGAATGTACCTGGATAGCACAACCAGCTACGTACCGGAGGCAGATAATCAGATATGAATGTACCTGGATAGCACAACCAGCTACGTACCGGAGGCAGATAATCAGATATGAATGTACCTGGATAGCACAGCCAGCTACGTACCGGAGGCAGATAATCAGATATGAATGTACCTGGATAGCACAACCAGCTACGTACCTGAGGCAGATAATCAGATATGAATGTACCTGGATAGCACAACCAGCTACGTACCGGAGGCAGATAATCAGATATGAATGTACCTGGATAGCACAACCAGCTACGTACCGGAGGCAGATAATCAGATATGAATGTACCTGGATAGCACAACCAGCTACGTACCGGAGGCAGATAATCAGATATGAATGTACCTGGATAGCACAACCAGCTACGTACCGGAGGCAGATAATCAGATATGAATGTACCTGGATAGCACAGCCAGCTACGTACCGGAGGCAGATAATCAGATCTGAATGTACCTGGATAGCACAGCCAGCTACGTACCGGAGGCAGATAATCAGATATGAATGTACCTGGATAGCACAGCCAGCAACGTACAGGAGGCAGATAATCAGATATGAATGTACCTGGATAGCACAGCCAGCTACGTACCGGAGGCAGATAATCAGATATGAATGTACCTGGATAGCACAACCAGCTACGTACCGGAGGCAGATAATCAGATATGAATGTACCTGGATAGCACAACCAGCTACGTACCGGAGGCAGATAATCAGATATGAATGTACCTGGATAGCACAGCCAGCTACGTACCGGAGGCAGATAATCAGATCTGAATGTACCTGGATAGCACAGCCAGCTACGTACCGGAGGCAGATAATCAGATATGAATGTACCTGGATAGCACAGCCAGCAACGTACAGGAGGCAGATAATCAGATATGAATGTACCTGGATAGCACAGCCAGCTACGTACCGGAGGCAGATAATCAGATATGAATGTACCTGGATAGCACAACCAGCTACGTACCGGAGGCAGATAATCAGATATGAATGTACCTGGATAGCACAACCAGCTACGTACCGGAGGCAGATAATCAGATATGAATGTACCTGGATAGCACAACCAGCTACGTACCGGAGGCAGATAATCAGATATGAATGTACCTGGATAGCACAGCCAGCTACGTACAGGAGGCAGATAATCAGATATGAATGTACCTGGATAGCACAGCCAGCAACGTACAGGAGGCAGATAATCAGATATGAATGTACCTGGATAGCACAGCCAGCTACGTACAGGAGGCAGATAATCAGATATGAATGTACCTGGATAGCACAGCCAGCTACGTACAGGAGGCAGATAATCAGATATGAATGTACCTGGATAGCACAGCCAGCTACGTACCGGAGGCAGATAATCAGATATGAATGTACCTGGATAGCACAACCAGCTACGTACCGGAGGCAGATAATCAGATATGAATGTACCTGGATAGCACAGCCAGCAACATACCTGAATGAAGAACTTCTTGCCGGCGAGTGCAGCACGGGACAGGAAAGACTTGGTGTTCCTGGCACCGCCTTGGTCCTTACCGTCCTCCTGGAACACATCGTCCTCCATGTCCTCCTCTCCTGACAACAGAATGTCCTCCCTAAAGTGACCTCATTACAAGTGACCTCATTAACAGTGACCTCATTACAAGTATCCTCGTTAACAGTGACCTCATTACAAGTGTCCTATTTTCAAGTGACCTCATAACAAGTGTCCTTGTTAACAGTGACCTCATTACAAGTGTCCTCGTTAACAGTGACCTCATTACAAGTGTCCTCATTAACAGTGACCTCATTACAAGTGTCCTATTTTCAAGTGACCTCATTACAAGTGTCCTCGTTAACAGTGACCTCATTACAAGTGTCCTCTTTAACAGTGACCTCATTACAAGTGTCCTTGTTAACAGTGACCTCATTACAAGTGTCCTCATTAACAGTGACCTCATTACAAGTGACTTATTTTCAAGTGACCACATTACAAGTGTCCATATTACAAGTGACCTATATTCAAGTGTCCTCATTAAAAGTGACCTATTTTCAAGTGTCTACATTAAAAGTGACCCCATTGCAAGTGACCTCATTACAAGTGTCCATATTACAAGTGACCTATTTTCAAGTGTCCTAATTACAAGTGACCTATTTTCAAGTGTCTTCATTACAAGTGACCTCATTACATGTAACCTCATTACAAGTGTCATTGTTACATGTAACCTCATTACAAGTGTCCACATTAACAGTGGACCGCCTCCGTGGTCTTGTGGTAGAGCGTCCGCCCGGAGAGCGGAAGGTCCAGGGTTCGATCCCGGGCCGCGTCATACAAAAAGACGTTAAAAGATTGTACTTGTTGTTACCCTGTCTGGAGCTCGGCATTAAGGGGCTAAAACAAGGACTGGTCGGCTCGGAGTCAGTATACTGTGTCTGAGTGGGGTACTCATGTTAAACTGCGGCATGGTATCTCAGTGAGCTAGCACTATAAATCGGCATCAGTCCGGACTAGTACAAGCAGCCACACACACACATACACGTGCATGCACGTCGCTATATAAGTGCAATAATCTTGGACGCGACGTTAAACCCAATTTCACCTCACCTCACCACATTAACAGTGACCTCATTACAAGTGACCTCATTACAAGTGTCCTTATTACATGTAACCTCATTACAAGTGTCCTCGTTAACAGTGACCTCATTACAAGTGTCCTTGTTACATGTAACCTCATTACAAGTGTCCTCGTTAACAGTGACCTCATTACAAGTGTCCTCGTTAACAGTGACCTCATTACAAGTGTCCTTATTACATGTAACCTCATTACAAGTGTCCTTATTACATGTAACCTCATTACAAGTGTCCTTGTTACATGTAACCTCATTACAAGTGTCCTCGTTAACAGTGACCTCATTACAAGTGTCCTCGTTAACAGTGACCTCATTACAAGTGTCCTTATTACATGTAACCTCATTACAAGCGTCCTTATTACATGTAACCTCATTACAAGTGTCCTCGTTAACAGTAACCTTATTACAAGTGTCCTCATTACAAGTGACCTCATTACAAGTGTCCTTATTACATGTAACCTCATTACAAGTGTCCTCATTACAAGTGTCCTTATTACATGTAACCTCATTACAAGTGTCCTTATTACATGTAACCTCATTACAAGTGTCCTCGTTAACAGTAACCTCATTACAAGTGTCCTTATTACATGTAACCTCATTACAAGTGTCCTTATTACATGTAACCTCATTACAAGTGTCCTCATTACAAGTGTCCTTATTACATGTAACCTCATTACAAGTGTCCTCATTACAAGTGTCCTTATTACATGTAACCTCATTACAAGTGTCCTTATTACATGTAACCTCATTACAAGTGTCCTCGTTAACAGTAACCTCATTACAAGTGTCCTTATTACATGTAACCTCATTACAAGTGTCCTTATTACATGTAACCTCATTACAAGTGTCCTCATTACAAGTGTCCTTATTACATGTAACCTCATTACAAGTGTCCTCATTACAAGTGTCCTTATTACATGTAACCTCATTACAAGTGTCCTTATTACATGTAACCTCATTACAAGTGTCCTCGTTAACAGTGACCTCATTACAAGTGTTCTTAATACAAGTGACCTCATTACAAGTGTCCTCATTACAAGTGTCCTTATTACAAGTGACCTCATTACAAGTGTCCTCGTTAACAGTAACCTTATTACAAGTGTCCTCATTACAAGTGACCTCATTACAAGTGTCCTTATTACATGTAACCTCATTACAAGTGTCCTCATTACAAGTGTCCTTATTACATGTAACCTCATTACAAGTGTCCTTATTACATGTAACCTCATTACAAGTGTCCTCGTTAACAGTAACCTCATTACAAGTGTCCTTATTACATGTAACCTCATTACAAGTGTCCTTATTACATGTAACCTCATTACAAGTGTCCTTATTACATGTAACCTCATTACAAGTGTCCTTATTACATGTAACCTCATTACAAGTGTCCTCATTACAAGTGTCCTTATTACATGTAACCTCATTACAAGTGTCCTTATTACATGTAACCTCATTACAAGTGTCCTCGTTAACAGTGACCTCATTACAAGTGTTCTTAATACAAGTGACCTCATTACAAGTGTCCTCATTACAAGTGTCCTTATTACAAGTGACCTCATTACAAGTGTCCTCGTTAACAGTGACCTCATTACAAGTGACCTCATTACAAGTGACCTCATTACAAGTGTCCTTGTTACATGTAACCTCATTACAAGTGTCCTTATTACATGTAACCTCATTGCAAGTGTCCTCGTTAACAGTAACCTTATTACAAGTGACCTCATTACAAGTGACCTCATTACAAGTGTCCTTATTACATGTAACCTCATTACAAGTGTCCTCGTTAACAGTGACCTCATTACAAGTGTCCTCGTTAACAGTGACCTCATTACAAGTGTCCTTATTACATGTAACCTCATTACAAGTGTCCTCGTTAACAGTGACCTCATTACAAGTGTCCTTATTACATGTAACCTCATTACAAGTGTCCTTATTACATGTAACCTCATTACAAGTGTCCTCGTTAACAGTGACCTCATTACAAGTGTTCTTAATACAAGTGACCTCATTACAAGTGTCCTCATTACAAGTGTCCTTATTACAAGTGACCTCATTACAAGTGTCCTCGTTAACAGTGACCTCATTACAAGTGACCTCATTACAAGTGACCTCATTACAAGTGTCCTTGTTACATGTAACCTCATTACAAGTGTCCTCGTTAACAGTAACCTTATTACAAGTGACCTCATTACAAGTGACCTCATTACAAGTGTCCTTATTACATGTAACCTCATTACAAGTGTCCTCGTTAACAGTGACCTCATTACAAGTGTCCTCGTTAACAGTGACCTCATTGCAAGTGTCCTTATTACAAGTGACCTCATTATAAGTGACCTAATGACAAGTGTCCTTATTACAAGTGACCTCATTACAAGTGACCTCATTACAAGTGACCTCATTACAAGTGTCCTTATTACAAGTGTCCTTATTACAAGTGACCTCATTATAAGTGACCTAATGACAAGTGTACTTATTATAAGTGACCTCATTACAAGTGTCCTTATTACAAGTGACCTCATTACAAGTGTCCTCGTTAACAGTGACCTCATTACAAGTGACCTCATTACAAGTGTCCTTATTACAAGTGTCCTCGTTAACAGTGACCTCATTACAAGTGTTCTTATTACAAGTGTCCTCATTACAAGTGTCCTCGTTAACAGTGACCTCATTACAAGTGTTCTTATTACAAGTGTCCTTATTACAAGTGACCTCATTACAAGTGTCCTCATTACAAGTGACCTCATTACAAGTGTCCTCGTTAACAGTGACCTCATTACAAGTGTCCTTATTACATGTGACCTCATTACAAGTGTCCTTATTACATGTGACCTCATTACAAGTGTCCTTATTACAAGTGACCTAATTACAAGTGTCCTTATTACATGTGACCTCATTACAAGTGTCCTTATTACAAGATTTATAACTGTTCTATCACAATACAATCGCAAGATTATTGCCCCTTGGTATATGCCACTGTGAAAGTTTGTACCTGGGGCAGGTTTCTCTCGACAGTCCACGTACTCGGGGTAGCCATACAAGAGTAGTCTCCCCATGGCAATGGTCTTGGAGAAGCGGTGGAGGAAGAGGATGGAGTCGACACACAGCATCAGCGCCAGGAACACGTAGAACATCGACATGAATCCGGGGGTCTCCGCAACCTTGGTGGCATCCTGACCGAAGGGTCGTGAGGTCACCTGACCTCCGTCTGTACTTGAGGTTCCGAAGGGGTAGAACCAATGACTGTGAATCCTCACCTTCCGAGTCTTGGACTGCGTGGGAGAGAGGTTGCGAGCGTTTCTGCCCCCCAGGGGCTGGGCAGTGGGGGTAGGGATGCCCTCAATGTGGGGTATGTCGGGTAGGGCAGGGGGGGCTGTCATCTCTGGAACACACAAACAGGAGCAACATGACATGAAGACACTGGTTGAGCAAAGATCAAACTGAACACAACGGAATGACACATGAGTGAGTATGGTGTTACGCAGCTTTTAGCAATATTCCAGCAATATCACTGCGGGGGACACAAGAAATGGGCTTCACACAATGTACCCATGTCGGGAATGACACGAGACCTGACATGAGTGAGATCCTGTACCAATAAAGCTCTCGTGAGGCCGTGTACTGAACAAGACTAGTCACACCCTTTAAACAACATGGTGGCACCCAGTCAAGTCACATGTCTTACTTCACGAAGTGCATTGAAACACATGAGTACCTTGATTAAAAACATGAAAAAATTTGGAAAATATCTGTTGACACTGCCGGTCCTTCTGTAGTGAGACACTGCCGGTCCTTGTGTAGTGAGACACTGCCAGTCCTTCTGTAGTGAGACACTGCCAGTCCTTCTGTAGTGAGACACTGCCGGTCCTTCTATAGTGAGACACTGCCGGTCCTTCTACAGTGAGACACTGCCGGTCTTTCTAAAGTGAGACACTGCCGGTCCTTCCACAGTGAGACACTGCCGGTCCTTGTGTAGTGAGACACTGCTGGTACTTCTGTAGTGAGACACTGCCGGTCCTTCTAAAGTGAGACACTGCCGGTCCTTCTACAGTGAGACACTGCCGGTCCTTCTGTAGTGAGACACTGCCGGTACTTCTGTAGTGAGACACTGCCGGTCCTTCTACAGTGAGACACTGCCGGTCCTTCTGTAGTGAGACACTGCCGGTCATTCTGTAGTGAGACACTGCCGGTCCTTTTGTAGTGAGACACTGCCAGTCCTTCTACAGTGAGACACTGCCGGACCTTGTGTAGTGAGACACTGCTGGTACTTCTGTAGTGAGACACTGCCGGTCCTTCTAAAGTGAGACACTGCCGGTCCTTCTACAGTGAGACACTGCCGGTCCTTCTGTAGTGAGACACTGCCGGTACTTCTGTAGTGAGACACTGCCGGTCCTTCTACAGTGAGACACTGCCGGTCCTTCTGTAGTGAGACACTGACGGTCATTCTGTAGTGAGACACTGCCGGTCCTTTTGTAGTGAGACACTGCCAGTCCTTCTACAGTGAGACACTGCCGGTCTTTCTGTAGTGAGACACTGCCGGTCCTTATACATTGAGACACTGCAGGTCCTTCTGTAGTGAGACACTGCTCGTCCTTCTATAGTGAGACACTGCCAGTCCTTATACAGTGAGACACTGTCGGTCCTTCTGTAGTGAGACACTGCCGGTCCTTCTACAGTGAGACACTGCAGATCCTTCTGTAGTGAGACACTTCTCGTACTTCTGTAGTGAGACACTGCCGGTCATTCTACAGTGAGACACTGCAGGTCCTTCTATAGCGAAGATCCCGAGTAGAATAGGTCTTCAGCAACCCATGCTTGCCGTAAAAAGCGACTATGCTTGACGTAAAAGGCGACTAACGGGATCAGGTGGTCAGGCTCACTGACTTGGTTGATGCATGTGTGGATCGATGCTCATGATATTAATCACTGGATTGTCTGGTCCAGACTCGATTTTTTACAGACCGCCGTCATATAGCTGGAATATTGCTGAGTGCGGCGTAAAACAACAAACCGACCAACCAACCAACCTTCTATAGTGAGACTTACCATCTGCTAGTCTGGCCAGATTGTGTTGGAGGTGGGCCCAGTCCAGGAACTGTTTAGAGGAGACGTTGTTGAGGTGTTTGCGGATGTTGATGACGGCGCCGTGCAGGAAGCGTGCCCCGGATAGCCACCGGTTGTTCTCCACGTCAGTCAGCGAGGACTCGATGTCATGTGACAGCTGTGACAGGAGGTTCCGCACGAAGCGATGGAAGTTGTTCCTGAACAAGACAAACCATGTGACATGACACAGATATGTAACTTTGGTGATCCCTACCTACAGCGCTACCTTTGGGGTCCACATATCCGAGGTGGAGTCGGAGGGGGTAGATGACCAACACAAGAGTACATGCACTGCCTACCTAACACAATGTATGATGTACGTTTCAGAGTTTCAAAAATATTAGAATAGTAGTTGTTCATGATTAATATTGTAAAAAAAGATTTTGTAGAATTTTCCTATTCGGAATATTCTATAAGTAATACGTTACCACTGTTATACCGAGGCTGTTGTCACAACTGCTGCTATAGCGAAATCTACCACAGAGATCTCAATTACCTCATGCAGCACGTGCGTAGCCACCCAGCTGCCATGTGACACCCTTCACTCTTGTCTCCTGCGAGAGCAAGTGCTCGGGGGACGGACGGGCGGGCAGCAGCCCAGTGGTAACGTATTACTTATAGAATATTCCGAATAGGAAAATTCTACAAATTACATTAAGTAATACGTTACCACTGTTATACCGAGGCTGACTACCACAGTAGGCGGTGGGGAGCACCTACAACCCGAATCCTGACTGCTAGCGTTCCTTCCGACCAGCGGAAGTAAACACCAAGGTGGAAGCACTCGATGCGCATGCACCTAGCTAGGCGTTACCCTATAGGAATACCAAAGCACTGTCAAGCGCATACCGTAAGGCTCAATCGTCATTGCCAAAACGATTGGTGACTCCAAACGGCCCCACTGGATAGGTATTTCATCGCCGCAGCGGATGAGAACACTGTATCCGCGTGAGCTTAATCTTAGATCAGGTTAAACAGTCGAAAAGAGGGAAATTAATTTCATTCAGACCGTATATCCCAGAGCAAGCCTACTTAAAGTATGCATTAGGCGCGTGACCTAATTCCAGTATTTGTAAGCATGCATCACAAGGTTGGGATACACGACAGACAATTAAAGACATAATTGTCAAAATACAAATAAGGACAAAGCACACAAAAAGCCGCCCTCACCTGTGGTGTGAGTGCGCTGGTTTGCGGGACCCCAACTCCTGTACCCACGGCAGTGGGAACATTGGAGTCGACCCAGATTGACCACCGTGCAAGGTCAGACGCCTGAGGAGTTCGGAATTGCGCTGGGCACACCCCTTAGGTGCCCGCTTGCGCCGCGATCCGCGGGCCAAGACGGTGCACACTCTCCACGACGGCATCAGCGACCTGTTTGAGGTAATGATTGGCAAAAACCGAGTCAGAACGCCAGTAACAACCTCGTAATATTCTGCGAACAGAGATATTCGAGTGTAGGGCAAATGTTGCCGCTAGCGCCCTGATCTCGTGCGGGTTTGACCCCGCTACCGGTAACCCCCGAGACCGGTACGCCAGATTGATGACAGAACGAAGCCACAACGCAATCGAGTTGCGATTTATGTCAACCGTGCGATTAGGGTTACACGATATGAACAGATGGTCAGGCCCTTGTCTACGTTCATTCGAAGCCTTAAGATAATACTTAAGGGCCCTAACCGGACACAGCGCTCTGTCCTCAGTAACAGCAGGATGTAAGATTTCTTTGAGTGATCTTACAGTGAATTCTCTCTCCGTTTGCCCGACTCTCTGATTCTTGGCGACGAAGCCCATGAGCAGGCCCAGGCGGACCGCTCCTTCGTCACCCCTATCGAATCGTACCTTGGCGACATCGAGTGCATGAATTTCGGATACACGTGCCGCCGTGGCAAAGGAGAGGAGAAATGCTGTTTTCCAAGTCACATGCCGGAACGAAGCACTATGCAAGGGTTCATACGGAGCTTCCGTAAGTGATTGCAACACTAGGGAAAGATCCAAGGCCGGTGCCCGAAGGCGGCCCTTCTTAAGATCGTGCTGTTTGAAACCCTTGATAATACCCCGTATCACCGGCTCTTTGGAGAGACTGGTACCCATAGCAACGTCCCGTACCGTAGCAACGGACGAGACATAGTTGGCAATGGAACCCCCGGAGAGTTTCCGGGTCTCTCGCAAGTGAGACATGAAACGAGCAATATCCTGCACAGATACCTTATCTGGCGAATGAATGTGATGTTTACAACACCACTTCGTGAAAATAACCCAACGTGCATTATACACCTTCTGGGTAGAATCACGATGCATACTAACGTATGCCCGAGACGCCCGGCGAGAAAAAACTTTACTCCTCAGACGCTCGGTGACAACATCCACGCGTGCAGATTGAACTGCCCTGCGTTTGGATGAAGCTGACAGGTGTGAGGGTGGATCAAGAGATCCGGTCTCACAGGCAGTGGAAGTGGCGACTGCGTGACCTGGGTCAGCAAGTCGGGGTACCACGATCTGTTCGGCCACATGGGCGCGATCAGTAACAGTCGACAGCGAACTCCTCGGAGCCGGCTTAGAATGTGTGGTATCAACGCTGTCGGCGGGTAAGCATAAGCGACCAAGCCCGTCCAGTCTAACGCGAGAGCATCGTGATCGATGGCCCTCGGGTCCGGGACTGGTGATACAAACAACGGGAGTTGATTGTTGAACCGCGTTGCGAACAGGTAGACCATCGGACGACCCAAACGTTCGCACAGCCACTGAAACACTACTGGGTTCAGCATCCACTCTGTGGGGCTCGGATCCTGAGGCCTCGATAGAGCATCGGCCAGTACGTTCCGCACACCTGGGATGTGACGGGCGCGTATCTGGCACGGGACACTGTCCACCAGAGCGTAAAACTCGAACGTGAGATCGAGTAGCGAGTGACTGTGGGTTCCCCCCAGTTTGTTCACATAGGACACTACCGTCGTGTTGTCGGTCGCCAGCATGAGCCGGGCGTCGACGAGACGATGCTTCCAGTGATTGACTGCGTTGATCACTGCCTTGAACTCGAGACAAGTGATGTGAAGACCTAGTTCGTCTACGCACCACAGCCCCGAGCTCACCTCCCCCTTTAGATGGGCGCCCCACCCCACTAGAGAGGCGTCTGTATACAGGGTCAACGTGGCCCGGTAGGGCCGCATAGAGACTCCTGATAAGACAATGTAAGGGACCGTCCACCACTCCAGATGCGGTCGGAGCCGATCCGGGAGGGCGACGGTCGCACTGTTCACCTCCGTTGCTAACAACTGGATTAAAAACCGTTGCAGCGGGCGGAGTTGGAGACGACCCCGTGCGGTGCAGTCCTGGGCTGATACAAGTAGCCCTAACAGCTGTTCCCAAAAGTGAACAGTCTGTTGCACCGCTAAGCAATCAACGCCTGAATTTTGTGCCACCGGTCTGGGGGGACAAAGAGGCGATGGGACACCGTGTTGAACCGACCTCCGATGAACAGCAAGTTCTGAGAAGGGGTTAACTCGCTCTTGGGGAGATTGATAATCCACCCAAATTGCTCCAAGAGCCGACGTGCGAAAACGAGATGGCGTGACAGGGTGTCCGTCATTCGATTTGCTACTAGCGAGTCGTCCAGGTACGCGAAGTACCGGACACCCCTCCTGTGGAGGAACCCCACTATGGGGGTGGTTAACCGGGTGAACAGCCAGGGAGCGGACGTGTGAATCATTCTGAGTTCGGCACTGTCCTACTTGGGAACGAGAAATATCCTGGAGTAAAACCCCGGTGTTATTTCTGGTAGAGCTAACTCCCGTACTGCCCCTTCTCCACCAACCTGCCGATGGCATCGGCGAGGATGGGAAGATCGGTTTCCGAATCGAAACCTGCCAACGGGGCAACGGTGAGCGGCGGATTCGCTTTGAGATCAAGCCGATAGCCGTACCGAATCGTGTTGACCACCCACGGGTCGTCGAACACTTGTTCCCAATTCTCCCAGTAAGTCTGGAGTCTGGCTCCCACTGGGGAAGGAGAGGGGGCCCTGACAGGTTGCGGCAGGCGCAACTGTCCAGGGCCAAGTGACTCGGGTTCGCCTAAGGGCCAACCGAAGTTGGCGCTGTCGGCATACAAACCCCTCCAATGAGAGTCACCTGGAGGGGCCCTTGCCGTCCGTCGACGACTTGGGCTTCCCCCAGTTCCCCGTCTTCCCGCGAAAGGGCAGCTGATTGCCCATACCGGAGCCCTCAGGGCGGGGCTACTTCCCAGAGGAAGAAGAACCCGACCCCTTAGACCTACCGGCCGCAGCAGCCTCGGGCGCGCTCCGGTTAGGAGCGGCACCCAGGCGCCTATGCAGGGACCCAACAAGAGAAAGTGTGTGCCGAGAGTCCTCGGCAACGTACTCCAGGGAAGCATTTAAACTGAGCAGGCAGTTGTAAATGCGCTGGTCACGGTCCGTGGGAGAACCTTCGACCAGACGGGCCGCTGCAGCCAAGTAAGTGTCTCCGTGAGACATGGAGTGCCGAGCGAGGGCGTCCAGCTGGTGCAAGGTAGCTTGCGTTACCGTAGCAGCCGGTGGGGCACGGACACCCAACCGCTCAACATGGGCCTCCGCAGTAGGACCAGCCTCGGGAAAGGCAAGGTCATGTACCGGGAAGAAACCCTTTCTCCACGACGTCGGAGGCAACGGGAGACCCCGACCGGAGGCCGCCGCGAAGGCGTTCTCCAAGGAAGGCTTGAAACCGCGCAGCAAGGTTGATGCGGGGAAAACCGTGTCGGAAGACTCATCGTATACCTCGGAGGAACCCACAGTTGTGGATTCGCGGCGGTACCGGCCGGGGCATGTCCTCAAAGAGGTCATAAACCATGGCCACGGCCACCGAAGTGGCCGGGGACGGAACAGCCAGCGGCCTATCCTGAGATAAGGCCGCCAGCTTGGAGTCCACAAGTTATGCAAGTAATGCAGCGACGGAATCCCCGGACAGCACACGGGCCGCCAAGAGATCCGCCGCTTTACCGGTGGACCCCGCGTCCGACCCCGCGGCCACCAAAGAGGCCGGGGACAGAACAGCCAGCGGCCTATCTTGCGATAAGGCTGCCAGCTTGGAGACCACAAGTTTCGACAACAATGCGGCGACGGAATCCCCAGACAGCCCGAGGGCCGCAAGGGGATCCGCCGCAGCCGAGGAGGTGGTACCCGCACGGGGACCCCGACCGGACGAACCGGCCACCACAGGGGTGGAGACGGACTGTACGTACAGCCGGTACCGCTCAAACTCCGCAGGCCCCAGACCTTCGCACAGGATGCACCGGGTGTCCCCGCAAGGAACCCTGCACCGCGGGCAACGATCGTGGGGATCCCGGGACGACAAAAACTTTCTGCACACCCCACAACTCCGAGGAGCAGGGGTAGAGGGGGTGGATACTGGGGACATATCCATGTCAGACATTGATTGTTTGCTATAAACAAAGAACAAAACATGGTTACAACGCACGCACCACAATGATTCACAAACGAACATTTTCACAAGAAAATAAACGAGCAATGTGAACATATAACATACACATATAACTTTTATTAAAGAAATAAGTGATGTTAACCCCCAAAACATACAAGAACAGGGGAAACGTAAAACACAACGTGCATACGCGAACCCCGCAAGTATATAGAAAAAAGGGCGGGAAAATTTTTCCGTTTGGCGGGAAAATTATAACCAAGCGTAGCTACCGCAACGCCCCATAAAAGCACAGTTTATTAGAGAATAAACTATAATAAATATCACCAAATCTTCAAGGAACGCTTCAGCAGGAGAAAACACGTCTTGCTAAGCAGACAAAGGAGACAAGAGTGAAGGGTGTCACATGGCAGCTGGGTGGCTACGCACGTGCTGCATGAGGTAATTGAGATCTCTGTGGTAGAGTTCGCTATAGCAGCAGTTGTGGGAGACAACAGCCTCGGTATAACAGTGGTAACGTATTACTTAATGTAATTATTGAGTGTAATGGCATTGTAAACAACACATTGTATCTGTTCAGCGAATTCAGGTGAACGAATGGGTTTCAGAAAATGATTTATGACTCATGTTCGATGAGTTGCACCTGACAGTGAACATGTTCTGTGAGACTCACCTGAATGTGAACATGTTCTGGGAGAGCTTGGTGAGGACTTCATGGGAGTGTTCACTCAGCAGTGTCACAATGTTCTGTTGTTCGAACACATTGGCCGTCTTCTCCAGCAGCTGATTGCGGAGCTGGAAACAGACAAACATCATCAGGATGATGACATTGGAAGTAGCAACACTGGTCCCCTACAAGACTGGTCCCCACAAGACTGGTCCCCTACAAGACTGGTCCCCTACAAGACTGGTCCCCCACAACACTGGAGCCTCACAAAACTGGAGCCCCACAAGACTGGAGCTCACAATACTGGTGCCACAATACTGGTCCCCCACAAGACTGGAGCTCACAATACTGGTGCTACAACACTGGTCCCCTACAACACTGGTGCCCTACAAGACTGGTCCCCTACAAGACTGGTCCCCTACAAGACTGGTCCCCCACAAGACTGGTCCCCTACAAGACTGGTCCCCTACAAGACTGGTCCCCCACAAGACTGGTCCCCTACAACACTGTTCCCCTACAAGACTGGTCCCCCACAAGACTGGTCCCCTACAAGACTGGTGCCCTACAACACTGGTCCCCTACAACACTGGTCCCCTACAACACTGGTCCCCTACAAGACTGGTGCCCTACAACACTGGTCCCCCACAAGACTGGTCCCCTACAACACTGGTCCCCTACAAGACTGGTCCCCCACAAGACTGGTGCCCTACTACACTGGTCCCCTACAACACTGGTCCCCTACAACACTGGTCCCCTACAAGACTGGTCCCCCACAAGACTGGTCCCCCACAACACTGGAGCCTCACAACACTGGAGCCCTACAACACTGGTCCCCTACAACACTGGTGCCCTACAAGACTGGTCCCCTACAACACTGGTCCCCTACAAGACTGGTCCCCTACAAGACTGGTCCCCTACAAGACTGGTCCCCCACAACACTGGAGCCTCACAACACTGGAGCCCTACAACACTGGTCCCCCACAAGACTGGAGCTCACAATACTGGTGCCACAATACTGGTCCCCCACAAGACTGGAGCTCACAATACTGGTGCTACAATACTGGTCCCCCACAAGACTGGAGCTCACAATACTGGTCCCAACAAGACTGGAGCTCACAATACTGGTGCCCACAATACAGGTCCCCACAATACTGGTGCCACAATACTGGTCCCAACAAGACTGGAGCTCACAATGCTGGTGCTACAATACTGGTCCCCACAAGACTGGAGCCCACAAAACTGGTGCTACAATACTGGTGCCACAATACTGGTCCCCACAATACTGGTGCTACAATACTGGTCCCCACAAGACTGGAGCCCACAATACTGGTGCCACAATACTGTACTCCCAAACATTCAGAGGTGAAGGTCAAGGTAAAAGTCTGGAGCTCACAATACTGGTGCTACAATACTGGTCCCCCACAAGACTGGAGCTCACAATACTGGTCCCAACAAGACTGGAGCTCACAATACTGGTGCCCACAATACAGGTCCCCACAATACTGGTGCCACAATACTGGTCCCAACAAGACTGGAGCTCACAATGCTGGTGCTACAATACTGGTCCTCACAAGACTGGAGCCCACAAAACTGGTGCTACAATACTGGTGCCACAATACTGGTCCCCACAATACTGGTGCTACAATACTGGTCCCCACAAGACTGGAGCCCACAATACTGTACTCCCAAACATTCAGAGGTGAAGGTCAAGGTAAAAGTCTGTGACACAAGTACCTTGTGCATGTCCTCAATGACAGGCTTCATGCTGTCCTCACACCGCGTCTTGGTGAGGCTGGCGAAGTTATTCTGTCTGTTGATCTCCTCCTCCAGGTGGCGCTGCATCGCGAGCAGCTCCAAGTGGTGGACGGCCGTCTTGGCGTACGACTGCTGCTTGAACTGTGACACAAACTGGGAGTTGTCTCTGGAGGAGAGAGTGACACAATACTTGACGTCCAATATTAACTAGGGGTTGTCTCTGGAGGAGAGAGTGACACAATACTTGACGTCCAATATTAACTAGGGGTTGTCTCTGGAGGAGAGAGTGACACAATACTTGACGTCCAATATTAACTACGGGTTGTCTCTGGAGGAGAGAGTGACACAATACTTGACGTCCATTATTAACTACGGGTTGTCTCTGGAGGAGAGAGTGACACAATACTTGACGTCCAATATTAACTACGGGTTGTCTCTGGAGGAGAGAGTGACACAATACTTGACGTCCAATATTAACTAGGGGTTGCCTTTGGAGGAGAGAGTGACACAATACTTGACGTCCAATATTAACTAGGGGTTGCCTTTGGAAGAATATGAAGTGTAAAACAATAAACAAGAAACTGTAACACTGACGATGTATTGAGAGGGGAAACTGTAATACTGACGATGTATTGAGAGGAGAAACTGTAATACTGACGATGTATTGAGAGGAGAAACTGTAATACTGACGATGTATTGAGAGGAGAAACTGTAATACTGATGATGTATTGAGAGGGGAAACTGATGCTGATCATATGACTCACTTGTTGACAGCAAGGACGATGATGCTGAATACCGTCATGGTGACGACGATGCTGTACAGGAAGTTGAGTGTGACGTAGCCAATCATCATGCATGTGTGATGCCACCGAAGGGCAGGTAACTCCGGCCCGATTGAATCTGGGAAAGACAAATATGACTTTAAAAACCTGAGTCTGTGGATACACTGATCTCTGAACTCTTAGTGTTGAGGACTCAACTGTAGTTAGTTTCGATAATATGTAAGTGTGTGACTGTCGGGTTACCTTGACTAATCATTCATGTTAGATCATGCCAGCGGCCTCCAACTAAAACAGTTCTGGTGCTGGGACACATGGGATGCTGAGACACATGGGATGCTGGAGCACATGGGATGCTCGGACACATGGGATGCTGGGACACATGAACACATGGGATGCTGAGACACATGGGATGCTGGGGCACATGGGATGCTGGGACACATGGGATGCTGGGACACATGAACACATGGGATGCTGGGGCACATGGGATGCTGGGACACATGGGATGCTGGGACACATGGGGTGCTGGGACACATGGGATGCTGGGAGACATGGGATGCTGGGACACATGGGATGCTGGGACACATGAACACATGGGATGCTGGGACACATGAACACATGGGTTGCTGGGACACATGAACACATGGGATGCTGGGACACATGGGATGCTGGGACACATGAACACATGGGATGCTTGGACACATGGGATGCTGGGGCACATGGGATGCTGGGGCACATGGGGTGCTGGGACACATGGGATGCTGGGACACATGGGGTGCTGGGACACATGGACACATGGGACGCTGGGACACATGGGATTCTGGGACACATGGGATGCTGGGACACATGGAAGCGCCACTTACCTGGAGCCAGCGCAAGACCAAATATGGCGAGGAAGAGGAGGAGGATGACAGCTCCGCACACTGACGCCAGGAATGGGATGGAGAACACCACGCCATATGTTGGCTCTGCTGTCCGTCTCTCTGTCACAGTGGCACTGTTAGGAGCTGAGGCTGCATCTGAAAAACAGAAGACAAGTCCAAGCAGGGAGAAAATCTCTGATTGTTTGTTGGTCTGTTTCTTATGAAGGTGTATGATGGCACTTAGAGGGTCCCGGCCAGACAAACTAGCCACTGATATCCTCATCTACATCACGCCCCATTGGGTGTGATGACATGTTATCACCCAATCCCTGCAGACCACAGGGTCCAGAGGTGGAGCATCTGCTCGGAAGGTCAGGGGTGCGATCCCCATCCGCATCATACCAACAGACGTTAAAAGATGGTATTTGTTGTTACCCTGCCTGTCGCTTGGCACTAAGGGGTTAAAAACAAGGACTGGTCGCCTTGGAGTCAGTATACTGAGTGGGGTATTCATGTTAAAGTGCGGCATGGTATCACCCCGGGCTAGCACTATAACATCGACAGGCTCTCACACACACAGACACACATACATGCACGTTGCTATATAAGTGCAAAAGTCTTAAACGTGAAGTTACACCCCATTTCACCACATCCATCACAAATTTCGGAGCCTGATCACTGGACCAATTTCAAAGCATAAAACGTTATAAATTCTATCCCAAAATCCTGACAGGGTCCGTGATTGGTTATTGTAGGAGTCACAACGTTACATACCAGAAGCAGCAGTAGTGTCATCCGTGTTGACCTTGACCTTCTCGTAGTGCCCCGGGTTGTGGATACGTATCTGATGAGTCTGGACATCATCGGTTATCATCACCACCACTTCCTTCTCCGTGTCGGGGAGGTCAGAGGTCGGCATGGAGAACTTGACGTGGAACTTGCGAGGACACTTCAAGGCCACCCAATACTTGAATAGCGCCTCAGTGGGGTAGCCCGGGTCGTACACGTCCATCTTCAGCAGGCCTTGGAGCAGAGTGAGTGAGTGAGTGAGTGAGTGAATCAAGGCAGTCTACATGTAATCAAGAGGTGGTGAGGAAGAAAGCATGAATAACGATCCATGACACAGGATGACACACAATGAAACACGATGAAACACGATGACACACAATCTCAAACAATGACACACAAGACATAAAATGAAACACAATGAAAGATGATGACACACAATTTCAAACAATGAGTGAGTGAGGTGGATTTAACACCGCTCTTAACAGTATTCCTGTTATACCACGGTGTGTCAGCTTAATGTGGGACGAAAGCCCCAAGTGATGTAGGTCTCAGACATTTACCACTTCGGTGAAACCCACGAGCACGGGTATGGTGCTGACAAACCTAGAAACATAATTGGGGCGAACCAGGATTCGAACCCACAATCATAGGTTTCTGCACAGTGAATCGCGGCGCCTTAGATGACTGTGCGACCTGGCCCCCCTCAAACAATGACACACAATGAAACACAATCTCACACAATGACACACTATGACACACAATGGCACACGAAGACACATGATCTCACACAATGACACACAATCAATCTAACACTATGTATTAGGGACTAAAGGAGAGGTCCGATTTGAGAGACACAGTTTGTCGGTATTTACCTGGACAAGTCTTGACCCGCCCGGACACTCCCACCACCCAGTGCGTGTCATTGTTGACCAGATCGGCTCGGATGGTCTTGTGCTGCAGTGTGACCCTCTCGAACACCGAGGCCACAATGGACACCTCCTTGGGAAGTCTGACCTCGAGGCGCGGGGCGGCGTTCTTGTGCGTCACGTGGTAGGGGAAGGTGTCGTTGAGGTAGGTGACCACCATGAGGTCGGAGCTGACCTTGTATGGTCCCTCGACCTCCGTCGCTAACACAGAGTTCTCCAGCACGACTCGGTCGTAGTTCTTGCCAGTCACTGCCAACATCATCCCAGACACACATGTAACTTCCACCCATCAATAAACAGGAATTCAGAAGCATCACTGCAGTAGGTATCTAATAGATGAAATTGTTCCTTATCAACTGGCAAACCATCGACATATAAGAGTTTCTGTTTGAAGTTTGTTTGTTTGTTTGTTGTTTAACACCGCAATATTTCAGCTAAATGGCAGGGGTTTATAAATAATCAAGTCTGGACCAGACAATCCAGTGATTCGCATCACGAGCATCGATCCACACAATTGGGATACGACATGCATCAATCAAGTCAGAGAGCCTGACCCCCCACTCTTGTTAGTCGCCTTTTACGGCAAGCATTGGTTCCTGAAGGCCTATTCTAACCCGGATCTTCATGGGTCTTGCTTCTAAGACTGGACAGGAAGTTATGATTAGCGTAAGAGCAGAAGGAGCAAAACCTCTCTGTCAAAAAAGTTTCTATATTGTTTGGACATTACATGTGAACATTTCGACGTCTATAGCTCGCATCACCTGGCGTGTCCATCTCTCCAAATGGATGCTTGGGTCTGATGGACACAGACTCTCCACCAATCACGGAGGAGAAGACAGATGGTCCTTGGTTCCGGTAATGGCCGACCTTGAACATTCCCCGGTGTCCCGACACCTCTCCTTCCAGGAAGTCCGGCGGTGCCCCGAGCTTGGAGTCGACCTCGATATGCACGATCTTGCCTCTGATTCACAAACACAGCAACGTTACAGCAACACTTCCCTATTACACAACTTATCAACATCTTGAACTGACAGAACTGTGCTTGGATTTATAATACTTGTCATGGATCTCTGAGATGGTTTATAGCTTGTCAGCAAAGTCCAGAAACTCGCATCTTTCTGGGCTCGATCGTAGCACCAACAGTGCCTATTACGAGTTATTTCCCTTCAATGTCCATCCTACTGACCAATCAGATTCCACCTCTCACATCACTTGCATTTGCTTAAAAACAAAGACAGCGCCTAGTCAAGACGATCTGATCGATAATAAAGATCTATCTTGTCTTTTAACGTCTTATACCTCACCAAATTGATCAAATCACTTGAGCACTTTCAATAAAAACATGAAAAGATCAGGAAAATAATTGTCGATGTTCACGGTACACATGCTTTACAAATCCTGTCATCAAACGAAAGCATCACAGCAATTGCAATGTTGTTTAGGACTTCGTTACAGGAATTTGACTGGACTATGCACAAACTCGTCAGTTCAGGCAAAGTATAACTCCATTATCCCAGCCTAGTTCGTCAAGGGTGGAAACTGGACTTTTAAAGTCAGTTAACTCCCTTGCTTCAAGAAGATGGGAAACTTGCTGTTATGACTCCACTCACAATAACACGATCTACAGGGAGACATAAACATCTATCTGGGAAAAACTAAAAACAAAATTCAAAACCACAAGTTCAAAGGACAGGCTTCTCTTACTTGAAGTTCATCTTGCCTTCCTTCTCCCACTGCTTATCTCCCTTGAGGCTGACCTTCCCCTTGTAGAACGATTGACCTTGATACTGCAGACTGAACTCCAGCTCTAGGAGGTGTTGCCGTGGCAACGGTCTGATGTGGCAGTAGAAGTGGTTCATCCGACTACTGTCCCACTGAGGGCGGATGTGGAACTCCATCCAGTTGCTCTTCAGACATCTGACGGAAACACAGATGTAGAAGCTCATTCAAGCAAACAGATTTAATACCACAGAGAATAAAACCCAGAAGGCTGTTGTCAAGCAACATGGCTACCGAGTGACCTGACATTGATATTGAAATGAGGCTACACATTATTTGACAAGAAAGGACAACCTCACAAGTTCCTGAATTATTTTCAAATGATTTTCATGGTGTCTCTGAAAACAAAGCAATCACTGAGACAGATGGCGAGTTCCAGCATAAAGCGTTGTGTCACTGGCGTAGCATGTTCAGATGGATGCAGTGTTTCCTCCCTATAACATGGTGAGTGAGGCTTGCTAATCTCTACAGTCAGTGGAGTAGCATGTTCAGATAGATGCAGTGTTTCCTCCCTAAAACATGGTGAGGCTTGCTAATCTCTACAGTCAGTGGAGTAGCATGTTCAGATGGATGCAGTGTTTCCTCCCTATAACATGATGAGTGAGGCTTGCTAATCTCTACAGTCAGTGGAGGGCGACTCACTTCTTGTTTGTTTGTTTGTTCCATCTGACCCATCTGACCCTGCTGATCCTGACCACATATCAACCTGATCACCCGATCCACCTGACCACCCGATTGACCTGACCATCCGATCCACCAAAACCACCCGATCCACCTGATCCTGACCACATATCAACCTGACAACCCGATCCACCTGACCACTCGATTGACCTGACCACCCGATCCACCCAATCAACTTGACCACCCGATCCGCCTGATCCTGACCACCCAATCCACCTGATCTACCCGGTCGACCTGACCACCTGATCCTACTGACCACCCGATCCACCTGAACACCCGATCCACCTGAACACCCGATCCACCTAACCCACCTGATCCTGACCACCCAATCCACCTGATCACCCGATCCACCTGACCACCCGACCCACCTGATCCTGACCACCCAATCCACCTGACCACCCGATCCACCTGACCGACCGATCCTCCTGACCACCCGATCCACCTGATTCTGACCACCCGATCCACCTGACCACCCGACCCACCTGATCCTGACCACCCAATCCACCTGACCACCCGATCCACCTGACCGACCGATCCTCCTGACCACCCGATCCACCTGATTCTGACCACCCGATCCACCTGACCACCCGATCCACCTGATCACCCGATCCACCTGACCACCCGATCCACCGAATCCACCTGATTCTGACCACCCGATCCACCTGATTCTGACCACCTGATCCTACTGACCACCCAATCCACCTGACCACCCGATCCACCTGATCACCCGATCCACCTGATCACCAGATCCACCTGACCACCCGATCCACCTGATCACCAGATCCTCCTGACCACCCAATCCACCTGATTCTGACCACCCGATCCACCTGACCACCCGATCCACCTGATCACCCGATCCACCTGACCACCCGATCCACCTGATTCTGACCACCCAATCCACCTGACCACCCGATCCACCTGACCACCCGATCCACCTGATCACCTGATCCTGACCACCCAATCCACCAGATCCACCTGACCACCCGATCCACCTGACCCACCTGATCCTACCGATCCTCCTGACCACCTGACCACCCGATCCACCTGACCACCCGATCCACCTAACCCATCTGATCCTGACCACCCAATCCACCTGATCACCAGATCCACCAAATCCACCCGATCCACCTGACCACCCGATCCACCTGACCACCCAATCCACCTGACCGACCGATCCTCCTGACCACCCGATCCACCTGATTCTGACCACCCGATCCACCTGACCACCTGATCCACCTGATCACCCGATCCACCTGACCACCCGATCCACCGAATCCACCTGATTCTGACCACCCGATCCACCTGATTCTGACCACCTGATCCTACTGACCACCCGATCCACCTGACCACCCGATCCACCTGATCACCCGATCCACCTGACCACCCGATCCACCTGATCACCCGATCCACCTGATCCTGACCACCCCATCCACCTGATCACCAGATCCACCTGACCACCCGATCCACCTGATTCTGATCACCCGATCCACCTGACCACCCGATCCACCTGATCACCCGATCCACCTGACCACCCGATCCACCTGACCACCCAATCCACCTGATCACCCGATCCACCTGACCACCCGATCCACCTGATCCTGACCACATATCAACCAGACCACCAGATCCACCTGGTCGCCTTTTACGAACAGCACAGGTTGCTAGGGACCTAATCTGATGCTGAATCACTACAGGGAACTTACTTCCTGGGCTGGCAGTGTCGCTTGTGGTAGTCCTTGCAGATGTCGCTGCAGTTGCTGCGGGCGCAGCAGGTGTAGCACACACGGAGACGCGGGGAGTAGCCGTTGTCACTCTCACTGCCCAGCACTGAACACTCTGAGCTGCTTTGTGTCATCTGCCGCGCACAGTCCCGCGTGCAGTCCTCACACCGCTTGCTGTAGTGCTGACACCTGGTGGGCAAACAAGAAACTAGTCTTTAAACAGTATTCCAGCATAATGAAGGTGGTGTGGGATGATGGGTCAAGCAACATGGTTGTCCACCACTTGATTTACTATTTGGACTCCTCCACCTACACTGTGATGTGATGTGAGGCGTAATGGGGCTTAACGTCGTGTTCAAGATTATTGCACTTATATAGCGACGTGCATTTACTGTGTCTGTGTGTGTGTGTGGCTGGTTGTACTAGTCCGGACTGATGCAGATTTATAGTGTTAGCCCACTGAGATACAATGCCGCAGTTTAACATGAATACCCCACTCAGACACAGTATACTGACTCCAAGCCGACCAGTCCTTATTTTAGCCCCTTAATGCCGAGCGCCAGACAGGGTAACAACAAGTACCGTCTTTTAACGTCTTTTGGTATGACGCGGCCGGGGATTGAACCCTGAGCCTTCTGCTCTTCTGGGCAGACACTCTAACACAAGACCACAGGAAGGTGTACAAGGATTGTTTACATGGATGGTGTACAAGGATAGTGTACAATGATGGTTTACATGGATGGTGTACAAGGATTGTTTACATGGATGGTGTACAAGGATGGTGTACAATGATGGTTTACATGGATGGTGTACAAGGATGGTGTACAAGGAAGGTTTACATGGATGGTGTACAAGGATGGTGTACAAGGATTGTTTACATAGATGGTGTACAAGGATGGTGTACAATGATGGTTTACATGGATGGTGTACAAGGATGGTGTACAAGGATGGTGTACAAGGATGGTGTACAAGGAAGGTTTACATGGACGGTGTACAAGGATGGTGTACAAGGAAGGTTTACATGGATGGTGTACATGGATGGTGTACAAGGATGGTTTACATGGATGGTGTACAAGGATGGTTTACATGGATGGTGTACAAGGAAGGTTTACGTGGATGGTGTACAAGGATGGTTTACATGGATGGTGTACAAGGATGGTTTACATGGATGGTGTACAAGGGTGGTGTACAAGGATGGTGTACAAGGATGGTTTACATGGATGGTGTACAAGGATGGTGTACATGGATGGTGTACAAGGATGGTTTACATGGATGGTGTACAAGGATGGTGTACAAGGATGGTTTACATGGATGGTGTACAAGGATGGTGTACAAGGAAGGTTTACGTGGATGGTGTACAAGAATGGTTTACATGGATGGTGTACAAGGATGGTTTACATGGATGGTGTACAAGGATGGTGTACAAGGATGGTTTACATGGATGGTGTACAAGGATGGTGTACATGGATGGTGTACAAGGATGGTTTACATGGATGGTGTACAAGGGTGGTGTACAAGGATTGTGTACAAGGATTGTGTACAAGGATGGTGTACAAGGATGGTGTACAAGGATGGTTTACATGGATGGTTTACAAGGATGGTGTACAAGGATGGTTTACATGGATGGTGTACAAGGATGGTTTACAAGGATGGTGTACAAGGATGGTTTACATGGATGGTTTACATGGATGGTTTACAAGGATGGTTTACAAGGATGGTGTACAAGGTTGTTTTACATGGATGGTGTACAAGGATGGTGTACATGGATGGTTTACAAGGATGGTGTACAAGGATGGTTTACATGGATGGTTTACATGGATGGTTTACAAGGATGGTTTACAAGGATGGTGTACAAGGTTGTTTTACATGGATGGTGTACAAGGATGGTGTACATGGATGGTGTACAAGGATGGTGTACAAGGATGGTGTACATGGATGGTGTACAAGGATGGTGTACATGGATGGTGTACAAGGATGGTGTACATGGATGGTGTACAAGGATGGTGTACAAGGATGGTGTACAAGGATGGTTTACAAGGATGGTGTACAAGGTTGTTTTACATGGATGGTGTACAAGGATGGTGTACATGGATGGTGTACAAGGATTGTTTACATGGATGGTGTACAAGGATGGTGTACATGGATGGTGTACAAGGATTGTTTACAAGGATGGTGTACAAGGATGGTTTACATGGATGGTGTACAAGGAAGGTTTACATGGATGGTGTACAAGGATGGTGTACAAGGATGGTGTACAAGAATGGTGTACAAGGAAGTTTTACATGGATGGTGTACAAGGATGGTTTACATGGATGGTGTACAAGGAAGGTTTACATGGATGGTGTACAAGGATTGTTTACATGGATGGTGTACAAGGATGGTTTACATGGATGGTGTACAAGGATGGTGTACAAGGATGGTTTACATGGATGGTGTACAAGGATGGTGTACATGGATGGTGTACAAGGATGGTTTACATGGATGGTGTACAAGGGTGGTGTACAAGGATTGTGTACAAGGATGGTGTACAAGGATGGTGTACAAGGATGGTTTACATGGATGGTTTACAAGGATGGTGTACAAGGATGGTTTACATGGATGGTGTACAAGGATGGTTTACAAGGATGGTGTACAAGGATGGTTTACATGGATGGTTTACATGGATGGTTTACAAGGATGGTGTACAAGGATGGTTTACATGGATGGTTTACATGGATGGTTTACATGGATGGTGTACAAGGATGGTGTACAAGGATTGTTTACATGGATGGTGTACAAGGATGGTGTACATGGATGGTGTACAAGGATTGTTTACAAGGATGGTGTACAAGGATGGTTTACATGGATGGTGTACAAGGAAGGTTTACATGGATGGTGTACAAGGATGGTGTACAAGGATGGTGTACAAGAATGGTGTACAAGGAAGTTTTACATGGATGGTGTACAAGGATGGTTTACATGGATGGTGTACAAGGAAGGTTTACATGGATGGTGTACAAGGATTGTTTACATGGATGGTGTACAAGGATTGTTTACATGGATGGTGTACAAGGATTGTTTACATGGATGGTGTACAAGGAAGGTTTACCGTTTAGACTTCTCCACCCACACTGTGGAGCTTCTGAAGAAGTCAGCTTGGATCCCATCGAAGAGATCGGTCATGGGTCCTGGCTGCGGGTACAGGAAGTGGGAAGGGCCAGCAGAAGAGGAGCCTGGGAATGTTCCAACTGTCTCGTATGACTGACACGGCTGAGCTTTCTGGTCATCATCCAGGCTGTATGTGATGTTCTGAAATGTGATGATCAATACATTTGGCTTTACTAAATCTGGTCAGTAAGTTATTATAAATGTCTATTAAATCAGAACTCCTCTCTCTTTAAACTGCTGGGACAGGATCACTGAATCACATCACAAAAAAATATAAATGAGTATTTTACCATGAGTCTGTCGTGATGCAGAATGTAGTGGTCGGGGACCGGGTGTACGTACCATGAGTCTGTCGTGATGCAGGATGTAGTGGTCAGGGACCGGGTGTACGTACCATGAGTCTGTCGTGATGCAGGATGTAGTGGTCGGGGACCGGGTGTACGTACCATGAGTCTGTCGTGATGCAGGATGTAGTGGTCAGGGACCGGGTGTACGTGCCATGAGTCTGTCGTGATGCAGGATGTAGTGGTCAGGGACCGGGTGTACGTACCATGAGTCTGTCGTGATGCAGGATGTAGTGGTCAGGGACCGGGTGTACGTACCATGAGCCTGTCGTGATGCAGGATGTAGTGGTCGGGGACCGGGTGTACGTACCATGAGTCTGTCGTGATGCAGGATGTAGTGGTCAGGGACCGGGTGTACGTACCATGAGCCTGTCGTGATGCAGGATGTAGTGGTCAGGGACCGGGTGTACGTACCATGAGTCTGTCGTGATGCAGGATGTAGTGGTCAGGGACCGGGTGGGGACAGAACTGACGGAGGATCTGACTCTGGGTGCCGGACTGGGGGATGGCTCGGAAACTTCCCTTCTCAGAGGAGTTGATCGGAACAAAGAGCTGCGCTGCCTGGACTGATTTCATTGTGACCTTGACCTTCAGATCTTCACCTGAAACATCAAGGACATTATATTCACTATGTACAACAAGGAAAATCATTAGTGTTCAGTGAAAGGTCATTTTTCATTCTCCATGAGGAAGTGTTATGTTCTGCAAGACGGAATCTTCGACATATTGAGAAACACAACTGCACTCTGTTGTGGCTGCGTTGATGAGTGTCACAGGACTGACTTACCCCTGTCCAGTGTGAACCCAAAGTTGCCGCTCTGCATCGAAGGGAGGTAATCCTCCTCGACCCTGCGATCAACGACGCCATATTCGCTCTCCAGGATGATGTTCTGGGAGGCCTCGGGCGGCGGGAGGTGAGCGTGGCCTGGAGCAGGGGAACAAGTACCAACGTAAATAAATGAGGGTGAATACAGATAAATAAGCATTTTCAATGTTTTAGTCTGTGACCCTCTCAACAGAATGAATAGGTGTTGAGTTGTTCATGGCCTGTGGTGGCCTTATGTCCTTGCTGTGTCTTTGCTAGTACCACACTGCATCTCATGTGTGATATAAGGGAGACAACTCTTACCTTTGCATTCTCTGTTGGTATCTCTCTGACAAGTCTGGAACTCAAACTGTCCAGAGGAGCACTGCTTCTGACAGGCTGCAGCGAGAAGAAACACATGTCATACTGATTCTTAGACACAGGCATTGAGTGAGTGAGTGAGTATGGTTTTCTGCCACTTTTAGCAATATTCAAGCAATATCACGGCGGTGGACACCAGAAATGGGCTTCACACACATTGTACCCATGTGGGGAATCGAACCCGGGTTTTCGGTGTGACAAGCAAACGCTTTAGCCACTAGGCTACCCAACCACCTCCATTGAATCACATGCCACATTGATTCTGGGACACAGGCATAGAAACACTTTTTACGATTAATAAACGCATCTTGGTGGAGAATTCAGGGGGCTGAGAAAATTAGAAGGGAGAATTGTTTAATCCAGTGGTATCATGGCGCGTCAGCTTAATGTGGGCGCAAAAAGTTGAGGGGTGGAGAGTTGAGGGGTGGAGGGGTGAAGGGTTGAGGAGTTGAGGGATGGATAGTTGAGGGGTGGAGAGTAGAGGGTGGAGAGTTGAGGCTGGAGAGTTGAGGGTGGAGAGTTGAGGGGTGGAGAGTAGAGGGTGGAGAGTTGAGGCTGGAGAGTTGAGGGGTGGAGAGTTGAGGGGTTGAAGGGTGAGGGATGGAGAGTTGAGGCTGGAGAGTTGAGGGGTGGAGAGTTGAGGGGTTGAGGGGTGAGGGGTGAGGGGTAAAGAGTTGAGGGGTTGAGGGGTGAGGGGTGGAGAGTTAAGGCGTTGAGAGTTGAGGGGTGGAGAGTTAAGGTGTGGAGAGTTGAGGGTGGAGAGTTGAGGGGTGGAGAGTTGAGGGGTGGAGAGTTAAGGTGTGGAGAGTTGAGGGTGGAGAGTTGAGGGGTGGAGAGTTGAGGGTGGAGAGTTGAGGGGTGGAGAGTTGAGGGTGGAGAGTTGAGGGGTGGAGAGTTGAGGGTGGAGAGTTAATGTGTGGAGAGTTGAGGGTGGCGAGTTGAGGGGTGGAGAGTTGAGGGGTGAAGAGTTGAGGGTGGAGAGTTGAGGGGTGGAGAGTTGAGGGGTGGAGAGTTAATAGTTGGAGGGTTGAGAGTTGAGGGGTGGAGAGTTGAGGGGTGGAGAGTTGAGGGGTGGAGAGTTAAGGTGTGGAGAGTTGAGGGTGGAGAGTTGAGGGTGGAGAGTTGAGGGGTGGAGAGTTGAGGGGTGGAGAGTTGATAGGTGGAGGGTTGAGGGGTGAAAGAATGCTTGGTGGTGAGTTGAGGGGTGGAGGGATGAAGGGTGGAGATTTGAGGGGTGAGAATTGAGGGGTTGAGGGAGTGAGAGTTGAGGGGCGGGGAGTTGAGGGTGGAGAGTTGAGGGTGGAGAGTTGAGGGGTAGGGAGTTGAGAGGTGGAGGGGCTGGGGGGTGGAGGGTTGAGGGGTGGAGAGTTGAGGGGTCAGGAGTTGAGGGGTGGAGAGTTGAGAGTGGAGAGCTGAGGGGTGGAGAATGGCGTGGTGACAGTTTAAAGGCGTGGCAGTGTCCACCTACCCCTGCAGTGGGAGTTGCTGTCTGACTTGCACGGCCTCAGCATGAAGTAGCCATCAGGACACACCTTGGCACAATCTGCAACAGAAGGGGGACAGTGGCAGTACAAGGAAGCAGGTGTTCATGGCCCCGACTGAGGGGTATTATCCCCCGCCACGTCCGTCCACTTCTCAAAGGGGACAAATTTTCTCAAAAACTATTTAAGTCAGAGAAATGAAATTTTACACACTGATTTTTCTGGTCATGACCTCAAGTGAGTTTGAAAATTGGTGTAAAATTATGGCCCTTGCGCCATGCTTTTCCAAGCTCCTGGCATGTTCTGTGTGTCTGACCCTATGCGTCTGTGTCTAAAACTGTGTCTGACCCTTTGGGTCTGTGTCTGACTATGTGTGTCTGTCTCTGTGTCTGACCCTGTCTGACAATATGTGTCTGAGTCTGACTCTGTGTGTCTGACCCTGTAGGTCTGTGTCTAAAACTGTGTCTAACCCCTTGTGTCTGACCTGGTGTGTCTGTGTCTGACTCCATGTGTCTGACCTGGTGTGTCTGTGTCTGACTCCATGTGTCTGACCTGGTGTGTCTGTGTCTGACTCCATGTGTCTGTGTCTGACTCCATGTGTCTGTGTCTGACTGTGTGTCTGTCTGTGTCTGACCATATGTGTCTGTGTCTGACTGTGTGTCTGACCCTGTATGTCTATGTCTAAAACTGTGTCTAACCCTTTGTGTCGACCTGGTGTGTCTGTGTCTGACTCCATGTGTCTGACCTGGTGTGTCTATGTCTGACTCCATGTGTCTGATTCCATGTGTCTGTGTCTGACTCCATGTGTCTGACCCTGTGTGTCTGACCATGTGTCTGTTTGTGACCCTGTGTGTCTGACCCTATGTGTCTGAGTCTGAACCTATGTGTGTGACCCTGTGTGTCTTTGTCTAAAACTGTGTCTGACCATGTGTCTTTGTGTGACTCTGTGTGTCTGACACTGTGTGTCTGACCATATGTGTCTGTGTCTGACTCTGTGTGTCTGACCCTTTATGTCTGTGGCTAAAACTGTGACTGACTCATGTGTCTGACCCTGTGTCTGACCCTAAGTGTCTGTGTGTCTGACCCTATGTGTCTGTGTCTGACTCCATGTGTCTGACCTGGTGTATCTGACCCTATGTGTCAATGTCTGACTCCATGTGTCTGATCTGGTGTATCTGACAATATGTGTCTGTGTCTGACTGTGTGTCTGACCCTGTGTGTCTGACCCTATGCGTCTGTGTCTGACCCTATGTGTCTGTGTCTGACCCTATGTGTCTGTGTCTGACCCTATGTGTCTGTGTCTGACCCTATGTGTCTGACCCTGTGTTTGTGTCTGACAATTTGTGTCTTTGTCTGACTGTGTTCTACCCTGTGTCTGAGACTGAACCTGTGTGTCTGACCCTATGTGTCTATGTCTGACTCTGTGTCTGACCCTATGTGTCTGTGTTTGACTCTGTGTCTGTCTCTGTGTCTGACCCTATGTGTCTGTGTCTGAACCTGTGTGTCTGAACCTGTGTCTGACCCTTTGAGTCTGTGTGTCTGTCTGTTTCTGACCCTGTCTGACCATATGTGTCTGTGTCTGACTCTGTGTGTCTGACCCTGTAGGTCTGTGTCTAACCCTATGTGTCTGTGTCTGAACCTGTGTGTGTTTGACCCTATGTGTCTGGCCCTTTGTGTCTGTGTCTGAAACTGTGCCTGTCCCTTTGTGCCTGATTATGTGTCTGTGTCTGTATGACCCTGTGTGTCTGAACCTGTGTGTCTGACCCTATGTGTCTGACCCTATGTGTTTGTGTCTGAAACTGTGTGTCCGACACTCTGTGTGTCTGTGTGTGACCCTGTGTGGCTGTGCGTGACCCTGTGTGTCTGACTCCATGTGTCTGTGTATGTGTGTCTGTGTGTGACCCTGTGTGTCTGTGTTTAACCATGTGTGTCTGTGTCTGACACTGTGTGTCTGACTCTGTGTGTCTGTGTATGTGTCTGTGTCTGACCCTGTGTGTCTGATTCTGTGTCTGTGTGTCTGACTCCATGTGTTTGTGTGTCTGATTCTGTGTCTGTGTGTCTGACTCCATGTGTTTTTGTATGTGTGTCTGTGTGTGACCATGTGTGTCTGTGTTTAACCCTGTGTGTCTGTGTGTGACACTGTGTGTCTGACTGTGTCTGTGTGTTTGACCCTGTGTGTCTGTGTGTGACCCTGTGTGTCTGTGTGTGACCATGTGTGTCTGTGTGTGACCCTGCGTGTCTGTGTGTGACCCTGCGTGTCTGTGTGTGACCCTGTGTGTGACCCTGTGTGTCTGTGTGTGACCCTGTGTCTCTGTGTCTGTGTGTCTGATTCTATGTGTGTGTGTCTGACTCCATGTGTCTGTGTATGTGTTTCTGTGTGTGACCCTGTGTGTGAACCTGTGTGTCTGTGTGTCTGAGTTTCCGTTGTTACCTCGGCAGATCTTGTGGGTGGTATTGGTGCACGGCTGCACCTCGTACGTCCCGGGGTTACACGGCACGCGGCACTCTGAAACAAACACAACCATACAGAGAAACAGCGGTCGGCACCACGAGAGTCCAGACACACCAATGCACAGCTATGCACTACTAAAATAAATACAGCTACTTCATCCACGACAACAACACAACAGTCGCTACCAGACAACACCCAGTCGAGGCTAGAGAACACACATCACATCATAGATCTAAATACATACAAAACCACAGCTTGTTTTAAACAAAATTCTTGGTACTTTTGTAATAATTTCATAATTCTTGTTATAAAAACAAATTGAAAATTGTTTGTTTTGACAAAGTTGTCTAGTAGGTGTCAACATTTTTACTATCCCAAAATACTGTATGGTGTCCACAGAACGTTGCTTAACACACGGTATGGTGTGCATATTGTCCACAGAACGTTGCTTCATACACCATATGGTGTATTTTGTCTACATAACCTTGCTTAACACACGGTATGGTGTGTATATTGTCTACAGAACCTTCCTTAACACACTGTATGGTGCGTATATTGTCCACAGAACCGTGCGTAACACACATTGGTTTGGGTATGGGGATACCTACCCTGGCAAGATTTTCCGTCACCATAGAAACCGTCGGGGCATATACACTCGTACAAGCCCATACTGTTTAAGCACCCAGCCGTGGGGTGACACTGTGCCCCTCCCTCCATACACTCATTTACATCTGAAACATGGGGAGAACATGGTGTTACCCAACAGTGCTCCCTGCCTGTCATCGCTTGCTCTGGCTGCTCTCTCAATTTCACTTCAATTTTTTTTTTTTTTTTTTAAATTTTTATTTTATTTTATGTTATTATTTTTTTAATTATTGTTTTTTAGTTACTCGTTTGTCTTTTGTGTCATTTTCATATTTGTGTTTTTTTCATTAAATCAAAGTTTCTGAAGTTAAAAAAACAAGTACAAATAACTGAAGACCTGGCCACAGCTAGCAATTAACAACAAAAATACAGAAGATCTCCATGACCGCTAAAAACACAAATTACTGAAAATATTGCACACACTGACATCAGCTATAGCATTCGCCACCAGTGCATCGACCAATCACCAGAAAGAGACAACACGAAACGTTGGCTCTCACGAGGCCAGTTAGATGAAAGTTGTTGCATGCAATTGGTAATTACGATATCTCAGGCGACTTCAAGATTCAGAAAAGGATATATGACATAAATATTGCTGAAGTAAACAGGTTCCATTGGGCAGCTTCAGTTTCACAGAAGTGTTTTCATCAATTTACTACCCAGTACTGACTGGACACAGCTTGAAACAGACCTAATACACTGTGTGGCCCAACCCCTCTATACAGTTGACACATGGCCCAACCCTCTATACACCTGACACATGACCCAACCCCAATATACAGCTGACACATGACCAAACCCTCTATACACCTGACACATGATACAGCTGACGCATGGCAAAACCGTCTATACAGCTGACACATGGCCCAACCCCTCTATACAGCTGACACATGGCCAACCCCTCTATACAGCTGACACATGGCCCAACCCTCTATACACCTGACACATGACCTAACCCCAATATACAGCTGACACATGACCAAACCCCTCCATACAGCTGACACATGACCCAACTCATCTATACAGCTGACACATGGCCCAACCCCTCTATACACCTGACACATGGCCAAACCGTCTATACAGCTGACACATGGCCCAACCCCTCTATATAGTAGACACATGGCCCAACCCTGGCAGACAGCTGACACATGACCCAACCCCTCCATACAGCTGACACATGGCCCACCCTCTATACACCTGACACATGACCCAACCCCTCCATACAGCTGACACATGACCCAACCCATCTATACAGCTGACACATGGCCCAACCCCTCTATACAGCTGACACATAACCAAACCCCTCTATACAGCTGACGCATGGCAAAACCGTCTATACAGCTGACACATGGCCCAACCCCTCTATACAGCTGACACATGGCCAACCCCTCTATACAGCTGACACATGACCCAACCCTCTATACACCTGACACATGACCTAACCCCAATATACAGCTGACACATGACCAAACCCCTCCCTACAGCTGACACATGACCCAACTCATCTATACAGCTGACACATGGCCCAACCCCTCTATAAACCTGACACATGGCCAAACCGTCTATACAGCTGACACATGGCCAAACCCCTCTATATAGTAGACACATGGCCCAACCCTGGCAGACAGCTGACACATGGCCAACCCCTCTATACAGCTGACACATGGCCCAACCCCTCTATACAGCTGACACATGGCAAAACCCTCTATACAGCTGACACATGGCCCAACCCTTGCAGACAGCTGACACATGGCCCAACCCTTGCAGACAGCTTACACATGGCCCATCCCCTCTATACAGACCTATAAATCAATGTGTTAGTTCCTACTGGTATATGGTATTGGGCACATTTGTTAATTGGTATAGGATATAAACTCTTGGTTTAAGACACGCTTTGCAAGATACATATGGTATATGATATATTAGTATATGACATATATCTGATGCATAGGATATATATCTGGTAAATATATTTAAGAAATAAATGAGGAGGAGTTGCTCATTTCACAATAAAACACTGCAGGGAGAATCAACCTTGAGGTGGGCATCCCTAAGTGGTTATTCTCCCTCCAGGGTTTTACTGTATGATCATACAACGACCACAAGACATTCATTTTTATCTACATTTATATAAGGATAAGTTCCTTAATACTCTTATCTGGGCAATGTCCGACAAGTCCATGTTATGAGAAGAGGGTTAAGTTAGGTATACATGTATTCTCACAAACATCAAAACAATGTAAGTACTTATCTGTACTCACAAACCTCTCAACAACAGCGTTGTCCACCCTGGTATATATGTCACATCTTGTAAATATGCTGTTTTCACAAACATGGTATATATGTATTTGATATGACTGGTATGTCCCTACCTTGACATTTGCCATTGGTCCCCATCTTGAAGCCCTTGCGGCAGATGCATTGTCCGGTACTCTCGTCGCAGCTGTGGTCACACGTGTGGTTCAGACACAGCTGGGTGCGGAGGTCGGACAGCACAGGATCACTCACGTCTGAAATCAGGTTTACCACACAACTATTCATGGTCGGTCAGCACCAGATACGTGGGTTCAATGTCCACTACCTGCATCACCTGATGGAGGGGGAGGTGTTCACAGAAGCATCATAGCCAAGTCACTCTCCTTGCATCCAACTCTCAATCACCCACTCACCTTACACCTCACTCACCTTACACCTCACTCACCCACTCACCTTACACCTCACTCACCTTACACCTCACTCACCTTACTCACTCACCTTACACCCCACTCACCTTACACCTCACTCACCTTACACCTCACTCACCTTACACCTCACTAACCTTACACCTCACTCACCTTAAACCTCACTCACCTTACGCCTCACTCACTCACCTTACACCTCACTCACCTTACAACTCACTCACTCACCTTACACCTCACTCACCCACTCACCTTACACCTCACTCACCTTAAACCTCACTCACCTTACACCTCACTCACCTTAAACCTCACTCACCTTACGCCTCACTCACTCACCTTACACCTCACTCATCCACTCACCTTACACCTCACTCGCCTTACACCTCACTCACCTTACACCTCACTCGCTCACCTTACACCTCACTCACCCACTCACCTTACACCTCACTCACTCACCTTACACCTCACTGACCCACTCACCTTACACCTCTATCACTCACTCACTTTACACCTCACTCACCTTACACCTCACTCACTCACCTTACACCTCACTGACCCACTCACCTTACACCTCACTCACTCCCTCACCTTACACCTAACTCACTCACTCACCTTACACCTCACTCACCCACTCACTCACCCACTCACCTTACTCACTCACTCACCTTACACCTCACTCACTCACTAACTTGACACCTCACTCACTCACTCACTTTACACCTCACTCACCTTACACCTCACTCACTCACTCACCTTACACCTCACTCACTCACTCACCTTACACCTCACTCACTCACCTTACACCTCACTCACCTTACACCTCACTCACTCACCTTACACCTCACTCACCTTACACCTCACTCACTCACTCACCTTACACCTCACTCACTCACTCACCTTACACCTCACTCACCTTACACCTCACTCACTCACTCACTCACCTTACACCTCACTCACCTTACACCTCACTCACTCACTCACCTTACACCTCACTCACCTTACACCTCACTCACTCACCCACCTTACTCACTCACTCACTCACCCACCTTACACTTCACTCACTCACTCACCTTGCGGCTCACTCACTCACCCAACTTGCACCTCACTCACTCATCTTACACCTCACTCACTCACCCACCTTACACCTCACTCACTCACTCACTCACTCACTCACTCACTCAGCACTATGACACAGGGAGAGCTCCTCACCAAACCTCTCCACCTTGATGAGTTTCTCATAGAAAACGTCTCCGTCCGAGTCCTTGTGGAAGAACACTGTCGCTTTCCTGGACAAGAAGGCTCGTGGAGCATACACCGTGATGTGGACGATGGTGCTGGCGTCAGCCTGGGAGTAGACGCCGCCGATGATGCCAAGGATGCATGTGATGGACAACAGGGTGAGATGCAGACTGCAACACAGGAAGATAATCATCATGACACAGAAAATACAGCAGCATCCTTGCATCTGGACCACGGTACGACACAGACGACAACGACTGGTACATATTCCCCCCCTACACTGAAGTCTTCTGACTTACTATTTCGGACCCTGGTACGTCTTCCCGCGTCCTTTCAAGGCTGGTTTCCGCAGTTCTTCCTTTGGGTCGGAGTTGTCCGATGTTTTCTGGAAGTCCACATAGTTGTAGTTATCTCCCTTGGCAGGCGTCTGCTGCTTCCAGAGACCTTGCTCAGGGATCTTCATCAGCTTCGGAGGAGGAGGCGGGAAGTCGAAGCTGGCGTCGCCCTCGGGGGGCTGGGGTTGTATGACCTCCGGGGGAGGGGGGAGGGGTGGGGAATCACTCTCGGGACCAGCCGTTGAGGGACACAGGGTCTGACTAGGCGACACACACCCGGGCTCCTGCCGACCAACATCCGACCCTTTACTGGTGTGAGCGGAGCCCATACCAAATGTACTCAAGCCGGGACTCTTCAGGTTGGGCTTGAGAGAAGCTTGGTGGCCACTGCTGTTGAAGGCACCATTGCCGCTGGTGTTGAATCCACTATTGCTGCTGGTGTTGAATGCACCATTGCCGCTGGTGTTGAATGCACCATTGCCGCTGGTGCTGAGGCCACCGTTGCTGTGGTTGTGTGGGTTGCCAGGGTTGGGGGAGTGTGGATTGCACCCTGGTTGGGGAGTGTTGGGGACGCTGCCGTCAGACAGTCTGTCGTCCCCGGAGTCTATTGGGGGTATTTCAAGGTCAGAGTCATTGATGTCAAAGTAGACTCGGTCTCCAAGGTCGGTCTCGAATATCTCACTACTGCCATATATGGACTGCGAATAGCGGTTTTCCCCCTCCGCTCCGTCCATGTCGGATGGGGTGTCCTCAGTGACACTTTCACGGATGACACCAAGGCGCTGCCCGAGGTCATAGCGCCGCGACACCTGCAGTAAGAGAGTGAGTGAGTGAGTGAGTGAGTGAGAGAGAGAGAGAGTGAGTGAGTGAGCGTGTGAGTGAGCGAGTGAGTGAGTGAGTGAGTGAGTGAGAGTGATACTATACACCATACCAGGTTGTGCTACAGTTTAAGACATCTCGACCTCCATTACATGAAAAGTCTAACAAGTCAACTAATATCCATGTCACCCCATGTGGTAAATAAGGTCCTGCCTGACAGAAAAGTAATCATCTTTAAGTTTGAAAAATGTTCCATGCAAAGGGCCCACATGTCAGTAAGTCTGATGTGGACAACTTTTAAAGCGCTATATTTGTTGTTTTTTAAGCCAATGGGATGCTTCAGACATCACTCTTTCTAACCATGATGTAAAGGAATGCAATATAGATCCCTTTTCATTGATCATTGGGGTAAAGGGTCCACAAGTCAGAGGTTGAAATTTGGACACTCTCTGGTGATTTCTTTTGTGATAAAATTCTAAGATTTAAGGAAACAACGTTTGTCATTTATATGAATACAGGTTTACATTTTATTGCATAATATTCTCATTCGTATGGGTTTAGTTAGCATGAATACAGAGAATTACTGGCACAGAGTGTTAACTGTTCTCCTAGGTGTATGTGTTTCTAACAACATCTGGCACAGAGTGTTAACTGTTCTCCTAGGTGTATGTGTTTCTAACAACATCTGGCACAGGGTGTTAACTGTTCTCCTAGGTGTATGTGTTTCTAACAACATCTGGCACAGAGTGTTAACTGTTCTCCTAGGTGTATGTGTTTCTAACAACATCTGACACAGAGTGTTAACTGTTCTCCTAGGTGTATGTGTTTCTAACAACATCTGGCACAGAGTGTTAACTGTTCTCCTAGGTGTATGTGTTTCTAACAACATCTGGCACAGAGTGTTAACTGTTCTAGATGTATGTGTTTCTAACAACATCTGACACAGAGTGTTAACTGTTCTCCTAGGTGTATGTGTTTCTAACAACATCTGGCACAGAGTGTTAACTGTTCTCCTAGGTGTATGTGTTTCTAACAACATCTGGCACAGAGTGTTAACTGTTCTAGATGTATGTGTTTCTAACAACATCTGACACAGAGTGTTAACTGTTCTCCTAGGTGTATGTGTTTCTAACAACATCTGACACAGAGTGTTAACTGTTCTAGATGTATGTGTTTCTAACAACATCTGGCACAGAGTGTTAACTGTTCTCCTAGGTGTATGTGTTTCTAACAACATCTGGCACAGAGTGTTAACTGTTCTAGATGTTTGTGTTTCTAACAACATCTGACACAGAGTGTTAACTGTTCTCCTAGGTGTATGTGTTTCTAACAACATCTGGCACAGAGTGTTAACTGTTCTCCTAGGTGTATGTGTTTCTAACAACATCTGGCACAGAGTGTTAACTGTTCTCCTAGGTGTATGTGTTTCTAACAACATCTGGCACAGAGTGTTAACTGTTCTCCTAGGTGTATGTGTTTCTAACAACATCTGGCACAGAGTGTTAACTGTTTAGATGTATGTGTTTCTAACAACATCTGACACAGAGTGTTAACTGTTCTCCTAGGTGTATGTGTTTCTAACAACATCTGGCACAGAATGTTAACTGTTCTCCTAGGTGTATGTGTTACTAACAACATCTGGCACAGAGTGTTAACTGTTCTCCTAGGTGTATGTGTTTCTAACAACATCTGGCACAGAGTGTTAACTGTTCTAGATGTATGTGTTTCTAACAACATCTGACACAGAGTGTTAACTGTTCTCCTAGGTGTATGTGTTTCTAACAACATCTGACACAGAGTGTTAACTGTTCTCCTAGATGTATGTGTTTCTAACAACATCTGACACAGAGTGTTAACTGTTCTCCTAGGTGTATGTGTTTCTAACAACATCTGGCACAGAGTGTTAACTGTTCTCCTAGGTGTATGTGTTTCTAACAACATCTGGCACAGAGTGTTAACTGTTCTAGATGTATGTGTTTCTAACAACATCTGACACAGAGTGTTAACTGTTCTCCTAGGTGTATGTGTTTCTAACAACATCTGGCACAGAATGTTAACTGTTCTCCTAGGTGTATGTGTTACTAACAACATCTGGCACAGAGTGTTAACTGTTCTCCTAGGTGTATGTGTTTCTAACAACATCTGGCACAGAGTGTTAACTGTTCTCCTAGGTGTATGTGTTTCTAACAACATCTGGCACAGAGTGTTAACTGTTCTCCTAGGTGTATGTGTTTCTAACAACATCTGGCACAGAGTGTTAACTGTTCTCCTAGGTGTATGTGTTTCTAACAACATCTGGCACAGGGTGTTAACTGTTCTAGGTGTATGTGTTTCTAACAACATCTGGCACAGGGTGTTAACTGTTCTCCTAGGTGTATGTGTTTCTAACAACATCTGGCACAGAGTGTTAACTGTTCTCCTAGGTGTATGTGTTTCTAACAACATCTGGCACAGAGTGTTAACTGTTCTCCTAGGTGTATGTGTTTCTAACAACATCTGGCACAGGGTGTTAACTGTTCTCCTAGGTGTATGTGTTTCTAACAACGTCTGGCACAGGGTGTTAACTGTTCTCCTAGGTGTATGTGTTTCTAACAACATCTGGCACAGAGTGTTAACTGTTCTCCTAGGTGTATGTGTTTCTAACAACATCTGGCACAGAGTGTTAACTGTTCTCCTAGGTGTATGTGTTTCTAACAACATCTGGCACAGAGTGTTAACAGTTCTCCTAGGTGGATGTGTTTCTAACAACATCTGGCACAGGGTGTTAACTGTTCTCCTAGGTGTATGTGTTTCTAACAACATCTGGCACAGAGTGTTAACTGTTCTCCTAGGTGTATGTGTTTCTAACAACATCTGGCACAGAGTGTTAACTGTTCTCCTAGGTGTATGTGTTTCTAACAACATCTGGCACAGAGTGTTAACTGTTCTCCTAGGTGTATGTGTTTCTAACAACATCTGACACAGAGTGTTAACTGTTCTCCTAGGTGTATGTGTTTCTAACAACATCTGGCACAGAGTGTTAACTGTTCTCCTAGGTGTATGTGTTTCTAACAACATCTGGCACAGAGTGTTAACTGTTCTAGATGTATGTGTTTCTAACAACATCTGACACAGAGTGTTAACTGTTCTCCTAGGTGTATGTGTTTCTAACAACATCTGGCACAGAGTGTTAACTGTTCTCCTAGGTGTATGTGTTTCTAACAACATCTGGCACAGGGTGTTAACTGTTCTCCTAGGTGGATGTGTTTCTAACAACATCTGGCACAGAGTGTTAACTGTTCTCCTAGGTGGATGTGTTTCTAACAACATCTGGCACAGAGTGTTAACTGTTCTCCTAGGTGTATGTGTTTCTAACAACATCTGGCACAGAGTGTTAACTGTTCTCCTAGGTGGATGTGTTTCTAACAACATCTGGCACAGGGTGTTAACTGTTCTCCTAGGTGTATGTGTTTCTAACAACATCTGGCACAGAGTGTTAACTGTTCTCCTAGGTGTATGTGTTTCTAACAACATCTGGCACAGAGTGTTAACAGTTCTCCTAGGTGGATGTGTTTCTAACAACATCTGGCACAGGGTGTTAACTGTTCTCCTAGGTGTATGTGTTACTAACAACATCTGGCACAGGGTGTTAACTGTTCTCCTAGGTGTATGTGTTACTAACAACATCTGGCACAGAGTGTTAACTGTTCTCCTAGGTGTATGTGTTTCTAACAACATCTGACACAGGGTGTTAACTGTTCTCCTAGGTGTATGTGTTACTAACAACATCTGGCACAGAGTGTTAACTGTTCTCCTAGGTGTATGTGTTACTAACAACATCTGGCACAGAGTGTTAACTGTTCTCCTAGGTGTATGTGTTTCTAACAACATCTGGCACAGAGTGTTAACTGTTCTCCTAGGTGTATGTGTTTCTAACAACATCTGGCACAGAGTGTTAACTGTTCTAGATGTATGTGTTTCTAACAACATCTGACACAGAGTGTTAACTGTTCTCCTAGGTGTATGTGTTTCTAACAACATCTGACACAGAGTGTTAACTGTTCTAGATGTATGTGTTTCTAACAACATCTGGCACAGAGTGTTAACTGTTCTCCTAGGTGTATGTGTTTCTAACAACATCTGGCACAGAGTGTTAACTGTTCTAGATGTTTGTGTTTCTAACAACATCTGACACAGAGTGTTAACTGTTCTCCTAGGTGTATGTGTTTCTAACAACATCTGGCACAGAGTGTTAACTGTTCTCCTAGGTGTATGTGTTTCTAACAACATCTGACACAGAGTGTTAACTGTTCTCCTAGGTGTATGTGTTACTAACAACATCTGGCACAGAGTGTTAACTGTTCTCCTAGGTGTATGTGTTACTAACAACATCTGGCACAGAGTGTTAACTGTTCTCCTAGGTGTATGTGTTTCTAACAACATCTGGCACAGAGTGTTAACTGTTCTCCTAGGTGTATGTGTTTCTAACAACATCTGGCACAGAGTGTTAACTGTTCTAGATGTATGTGTTTCTAACAACATCTGACACAGAGTGTTAACTGTTCTCCTAGGTGTATGTGTTTCTAACAACATCTGACACAGAGTGTTAACTGTTCTAGATGTATGTGTTTCTAACAACATCTGGCACAGAGTGTTAACTGTTCTCCTAGGTGTATGTGTTTCTAACAACATCTGGCACAGAGTGTTAACTGTTCTAGATGTTTGTGTTTCTAACAACATCTGACACAGAGTGTTAACTGTTCTCCTAGGTGTATGTGTTTCTAACAACATCTGGCACAGAGTGTTAACTGTTCTCCTAGGTGTATGTGTTTCTAACAACATCTGGCACAGAGTGTTAACTGTTCTCCTAGGTGTATGTGTTTCTAACAACATCTGGCACAGAGTGTTAACTGTTCTCCTAGGTGTATGTGTTTCTAACAACATCTGGCACAGAGTGTTAACTGTTTAGATGTATGTGTTTCTAACAACATCTGACACAGAGTGTTAACTG